GCGGGATCTCGGCTCACTGCAAGCTCCGCCTCCTGGATTCACACCATTCTCCTGCCTCAGCCTCTGGAGTAGCTGGGACTAGAGGCTCCCGCCATGACACCCAGCTAATTTTTTGTATTTTTAGTAGAGATGGGGTTTCACCGTGTTAGCCAGGATGGTCTCAATCTCCTGACCTTGTGATCCACCCGCCTCGGCCTCCCAAAGTGCTGGGATTACAGGCGTGAGACAACGCGCCTGGCCCTTTTTCTTTTTTTTTTTTTTTTTTTTTTTTTTTGAGACGGAGTCTCGCTCTGTCGCCCAGGCTGGAGTGCAGTGGCCGATCTCAGCTCACTGCAAGCTCCGCCTCCCGGGTTTACGCCATTCTCCTGCCTCAGCCTCCCGAGTAGCTGGGACTACAGGCGCCCGCCACCGCGCCCGGCTAGTTTTTTGTATTTTTTAGTAGAGACGGGGTTTCACCGTGTTAGCCAGGATGGTCTCGATCTCCTGACCTCGTGATCCGCCCGTCTCGGCCTCCCAAAGTGCTAGGATTACAGGCTTGAGCCACCGCGCCCAGCCTTCTTTTTTTTTAAAGACAGAATCCCACTCTCGCCCAGGCTGTAGTGCAGAGGCGCAATCTCAGCTCACTGCAGCCTCTACCTCCTGGGCCCAAGCGATTCTCCTACCTCAGGCTCCCAAGTAGCTGTGACTACAGGAGCGTGCCACCATACCTGGCTAATTTTTGTATTTTCTTGGTAGAGATGGGGTTTCACCATGTTGGGCAGGCTGGTCTCGAACTCCTGACCTCAGGTGATCTGCCCACCCCAGCTTCCCAAAGTGCTGGGATTACAGGCGTGAGCCACCGTGACCTACTGATGTCGATATTTTGACCTCCCATGAATCACAGATATATATATACACATATATTTTTTTTCTTTTTTGAGATGAAGTCTCACTCTGTCGCCCAGGCTAGAGTGCAATGGTGCGATCTCGGTTCACTGCAAGCTCCTCTTTCTGGGTTCACACCATTCTCCTGCCTCAGCCTCTCGCGTAGCTGAGACTACAGGTTCCCACTACCATGTCCAGCTAATTTTTTGTATTTTTAGCAGAGATGGGGTTTCACCATGTTAGCCAGGATGGTCTTGATCTCCTGACCCTGTGATCCACCCGCCTCAGCCTCCCAAAGTGCTGGGATTACACGTCTGAGCCACCATGCCCGACGACAAATATTCTTTTTTTTTTTTTTTTTTGAGACGGAGTCTCGCTCTGTCGCCCAGGCTGGAGTGCAGTGGCTGGATCTCAGCTCACTGCAAGTTCCGCCTCCCGGGTTTACGCCATTCTCCTGCCTCAGCCTCCCAAGTAGCTGGGACTACAGGCGCCCGCCACCTCCCCCGCCTAGTTTTTTGTATTTTTTAGTGGAGACGGGGTTTCACCATGTTAGCCAGAATGATCTCGATCTCCTGACCTCGTGATCGGCCCGTCTCGGCCTCCCAAAGTGCTGGGATTACAGGCTTGAGCCACCGCGCCTGGCCAGACAAATAATCTTAATGGTATCTCGAATAGTGTATCCTTTCAGGAGGTTTTTAATTTACATTGTTGAGACCCATCAGAGGAATCACAATCTATGTAGCTATAGCCTTACAAAACTCATTTCTTTTCCCCGGTCCCGCCCCCCCCCCCTTTTTTTTAAGAGATTGGCAGTGGAGGGGGTGGTCTCACTATGCTGCCCAGGCTGGTCTCTAAATCCTGAGCTCAAGCGATCCACCTGCTTTGGCCTCCCAAAGCGCTGCGAGTACAGGCATGAGTCAATGTGCTCAGCCCCAAAATGCATTTCTTAAGTAAGATTTGAGAGCTGAAATTACTCCTTGATCCATGGGCTGCAGAACAGATGTTAACATTAATCTCATTCATCTCCATGAGACCTCTTTGGTGACTAAGCACATTCTCAGTGAGCAGTAATATTTTGAAAGAAATCTTTTTTTTCTGAGCTGTAGATCTCAATAGTGGGCTTAAAATATTCAGTAAAACATACTGTAAATAGATATGCTACTATACAGGCTTTCTTGTTTCACTGATCAGCACACAGTAGATTTCTGCATAATTCTTAAGGGCCCTCGGATTTTCAGAATGGTAAATGAGCACTGGTTACAATTTAGTCACGGGTCACATTAGCCCCTAACAAGAGAATCAGCCTGTCCTTTGAAGCCAGGCATTGACCTTTCTCTGGCTATGAAAGTCCTAGATAGTATTTTTTTTCCATATAAGGCTGTTTCATTTACATTGAAAGTCTGTTGTTCAGTGTGGCCACCTTCATCAATTATTTTAGCGATATATTCTGCATAACTTGCTGCAGCTTCTACATCAATGCTTACTGCCTCAACCTTATACTTTCACATTACAGAGGCGGCTTCTTTCCTTAAACCTCATGAACCAACCTCTGCCAGTTTCAAACTTTTTCTCTGCAGCTTCCTCACCTTTCTCACTCTTCACAGAATTGAAGACAGTTAAGGCCTTACTCTGGATTAGGCTTTCGCTTAAGGGAATGTCATGGATGGTTTGATCTATCCAGACCACTAAAACTTTTTCCCTATCAGCAATAAGGCTGTTTGGCTAATCATTCATGCATTCACTGGGGTAGCATTTTAATTTCAAGAACTCTTCCTTTGCATTCACAACTTGGCCAACTGTCGTTCAGCACAAGAGGCCTAGCTTTTGGCCTATCTCAACTTTTGATATGCCTTTCTCACTAAGGTTAATCATTTCTTAACTTGATTTAAAGTAAGAGAGATTCAACTGACTGCTCCTTTTGTCTGGACACTGTAGGGTCACTGACTGGCCTAATTTCAATATTGTGTCTCAAGGAATAGAGAGGCCTGAGAAGAGAGACTGGGAACTGCCAGTCAGTGGAACTGTTAGTAGACACCCAACTTTTACCAATTAAGTTCACCATCTTATATTAGTGCTATTCATGGTAACCCAAAACACTGACCACAGCTCACCGTAACAGATGCAATAATGAAAAGGTTTGGGGCTGGGCATGGTGGTTCATGCCTGTAATCCCAACACTTTGGAAGGCCAAGGCAGGCAGATCACTTGAGGTCAGGAGTTCGAGATCAGCCTGGCCAACATGGTGAAATCCCATCTCCACTAAAAATACAAAAATTAGCTGGGTGTGGTAGTACGTGCCTATAATCCCAGCTACTCCGGAGGCTGGGGCAGGAGAATCACTTGAGCCCAGGCGGCAGAGGTTACAGTGAGGCCGAGAACATGCCATTGCACTCCATCCTGGGTGACTGAGATTCCATCTCAAAAAAAAAAAAAAAAGTTTAAAATATTGTGAATTACCAACACTTGACACAAGAGACATGAAGTGAGCACATGCTGTTGGAAAAATGGCTGGCACTTACAGACTTGCTCGACGAATACTTGCTATAAACCTTCACCTTGCAAAAAAGGCAGTATGTGCAAAGCACAATAAAATGAGGTATCTCTTATTCCCTCCATCCTCACCCAGCTACAGGAGGGCCAGCACTACGACTGTTGACTGCTGTATTACAAGCAGAAAGTTTGGCATACAGGACACCTCAAAAATATGCTACTTCGATCTTGAGGAGAGTGAAATATCTTACTCATTATATGTACAAAGCACAGATGTGTATACATTCTATAAAAATAGTTTACGTATGGCATTAAGATTTCATGAAGATTAGAAAAACAATGTTTACAAAAGCTCCTTACAAAGGTAGTAATTTAAGATCAATAAACGATGTATTAAAGTCAGATTTTTGGAAGCTCAAATTCAGGCAATACAAAAGCCAGCAACACAGCTTGCTACTCAAATGTCCCTATTTCATCTCAAACTCACAGTAAAACTGAACCCAATGTATCCTTGTCCATTAACAAGCAAAACACCAAGAAAATAACAAAACATTCCCTTCAATGTCTCTTTTACTGTCAGCGGTCCCAAAACTCCTGGTCACCGAATTCAAAAGCCGAATTCTGCAGTTAGGACTTAATCTCATCTGCTGCCAAAGAGCCGGCTTTGTGACCTTGGGCAGACCACCTCACTTTTCTGGACCTCAGTCTCCCCAACCACTTGGACAGTCTAAGTCAGATTCCAGAGCTGAGACCCTACGTCTGGCTCAAGAACTTCGTGCAGAAACAGAACGAAGGTTATTAAGACTGTGAACGTCTATGGGAACCGACAAGTGAAAGACAAAAGCTGAAATCCCTACCAAAACTGCTTGCCCAAGCTCTATCCTTTTCCCTGTTTCCTCGATGGATCAAAGGCGCAAAAGCGGTGTTTACTAGCAACTCTGTTTCGGGTCGTGAGAATCTTCATACACCAGCCTACAGGCGCGCCAGAGGGTGAAGGGCCCGAGCGGCGCAGGGCTGGGCCGCAAGCCTCACAGTCACACGTTCCACCAACCATCAGCCGGGGCCCGGAAGCGCGCCCGGAAGTCGAGGCCCTACTAAGTTTTAGACTGCGACCTCGGCGCCCCGCACGGTCAGTCCCGCACCCGTACTCAGATCCTCCTGACCTACAAAAGGCCCCGCCACGCGGCCCGGGCACCCGGGCAAACTCGCAGGCCCCACGATGGCGGGGCGGCGGCACGAACACACAAAGGAGACGTCGTCAGCGGGGAACAAAAACCCTGCCCAGGTCTCCCCGCTAACAGCACACCCTGCCCAACTCTCCGAGTGACCTTGGGGGCGTTCCTGCCCTTCCCAGAGCCTCAGTTTCCCTTCCTAAGCTATGGACTAAGCCCCATGGCCGCGGTCCGCCAGGGTGAGCCGAGACCCAGACGCAGGCCTCTTAACTTGTTGCCCGCGCCAAGCCGGGTTAGGTGCGCCCGCGCGGAAGGCGGTGCGAGCGGCCAGAGCTGGCTCGAGGTCCCGGGCTGCGGAGTCTCGGCCGGGTGGAGCCGCGCGGGCCAAGGCCTCTGTAGGCCGCGAAGCCGCCTAAACCTCGCACCTGCACAGGCCCTGACTTGCCGCTGCTTCCCCGCAAAGCCCAGCCTAACCTGGAGCTAGTTAGGTCCGCAGGCGCCGCCGCCGTCACACTCGAGAGAAGCAGCTGCTTCTCCAGCCGCCCAGGAGAGCCCCTCGAGAAAGATGCCGCCGCCTCAACAGCAACCCACTTCCGCTTCGGAGGCCTCGGCTCCGCCCCCCGTCGTGTCCCCATTGGCCGCCCGCCTACCCAACTTCCGCGGTTGGCCGGGTAAGGACAAATTTTTAAATCCTATTGGATAAGAAAACCATCTGTTACCACTTTAAAGCGCGCCTCTTTCCGCCCCCGCCCACAATCGAGCGCCCTAATTCGCACCTTCCGCAAGAGACGGCGCGGGCGCGGCCCCGCCCGCAAGGCCTTGCGGGAGTCGCGGTCTGAGGGCCGACCGGGCTCCTGTACCCGGCTGCCACTGACTGTCCAGGGACTGTCCGCCGACTGCCTCCGGAGCCGAGCGGGCCCCGAACCTTCCCATTCCTAGTTTTCGAACCGCACACCAGCTGCCGTGCCCCTGGCTCGACGCAGCTGGCCGGGGACGCGGAGCTGGTAGTTCGTCCCGCCTGCCGTTCCGCGCCCCTCTCCTGGCTCTTGTTTCCCCGCCTCTTAACGATGCCTTTGTGAGGAAGGTTGCTGGGCCTGGGGACTATGACGATCGGCTGGAAACCAGGCCTGGCCCTGTTTCAGCACCCCCGCGTGCCAAGCCCTGGGCCGGCGTGCGGGTCCCTGCCCCTGAGAGGAACCTGGAACTTTTGCAGGCTGGGGTGCAGACGTGTACCTAACAGACGAAGAGTGTGGAGGATTGGAGGACTCAGGGCAGCACGGCACAGGTGCATGCAGGTCCCCGGTCGGACTGGAGAATGGGTGGTGGGTTTCTTGAGCTCCAGTCCCTGAGCTGGACTTTGACGTGGGTTTAGCAACCAGGAAAAAAGCCCACCTTGTCCCTGCTGCCTGAGAATACCCAGACCTTAGTCCATGGCCAGCATCTCTGGTCCCTCGGCACCCTCAGGCAATGTGAAGGTCACCCCGAATGCCTTGGGTTGCATTGTTTCCTTACACTGAGTTTCTGTTTGTTTTGAGATGGAGTTTCGCTCTTGTCGCTCTGGAGTGCAGTGGCGCGATCTCGGCTCACTGCAACCTCCAACCTCCAACCTGGATTCTTGTGATTCTCCTGCCTCAGCTTCCCGAGTAGCTGAGATTAGAGGCGCCTGCCACCACACCCGGTTAATTTTGTATTTTTAGTAGAGACGGGGGTCCCATCATGTTGGCCAGGCCGGTCTCGAACTCCTGACCTCAGGAGATCCACCATCCTTGGCCTCCCAAAGTACTGGGATTACAGGTGTGAGCCACTTCACCCGGCCACCGTACAGTAAGTTTCTAACCTCGAAAATGGAGTCAAATAATGGAATGACAAGGCAGATAGAAACCAGAGCATTAACGTTTTTGCGTTGTGTTTACAAACAATATGTGTTTGCTATTTTCTGTAATTGTAAGGAAATCTGGCATGGTAGAGTATCTGATAGATAAATCTAATTCTCATGTAAAATATCTAAGTATTTGTGTGTGTGTGTGTGTGTGTGTGTGTGTGTGTGTGTGTGTGTGTGTTTTGAGACGAGGTGTCACTCTGTCACCCAGGCTGGAGTGCGGTGGCACAATCATGCCTCACTGCAGCCTCGACCTCCCGAGGTTTAGATGATCAACCCACCTTGGCCTCCCAAGTAGCTGGGACCACAGGTGTGTGCCACCATGCCTGGCTAATCTTTTTGTACACACTGGCTTTTGCCATGTTGCCCAGTCTTGTCTTGGAGTCCCAGGCTCAAGCTATCTGCTTGCCTCAACCTCCCAAAGTGTTGGGATTACAGGCATGAGCCATCACACACTGCCCTAAGTATTTGATTTTTGATAGTGATTGTAAGTTGAAAAGTATAAGATTTTCCAAAGTTTGTGATTATAATTGGAACAAAGAGAACTTAAAAGTTTAAGAGAAATGTATACCTTTAATATACCTATGAGAATTATTTAAATATTAATACTTGATAAGGCAGACAACTGAAATGCTAAAAAGTAAAATTAGATTCTACATGTATAAAGGCAGTTGAAAATGTTTAAGAGAATTTCAGTTCATAAATGGAGCCGTACATGATTAATCAAAATGGTGGTTAAAAATCATCAGATGTAGGCTGCGCATGGTGGCTCTCTCCTGTATTCTTTGTTTTTTTGAGACGGAGTCTGTCGCCCAGGCTGGAGTGCAGTGGCATGATGTCGGCTCACTGTGAGCTCTGCCTCCCAGGTTCACGCCATTCTCCTGCCTCAGCCTCCCGAGTAGCTGGGACTACAGGCGGCCACCGCCACGCCTGGCTAATTTTTTGTATTTTCGGTAGAGACGGGGTTACACTATGTTAGCCAGAATGGTCTCGAACTCCTGACCTCGTGATCCACCCGCCTCGGCCTCCCAAAGTGCTGGGATTACAGGCGTGAGCCACCAGGCCCGGCCTCGCCTGTAATCTTTAACACTTTCAGAGGCTGAGGTGGGAGGATTGCTTGAGCTAAGGAGTTTATAGATGAGCCTGGGTAACATGGTAAAACCCTGTCTCCACCAAGAAAAAAAAAAAAAAATTATCCGGGTGTGGTGGCATGTCCCTGTGGTCCCAGCTACTCAGGAGGCTGAGGCAGGAGGATTGCTTGAGCCCAGGAGGTCATGGCTGCAGTGAGCTGCGATTGCATGTCAGCCTGAGTGACAGAATTAGACCCTCTCTCTCTCTCTCTCTCAAAAAAAAAAAAAAAAAAATCAGATTTAGAAAGAGTAATATTAGTAATTTGTATTTTACAGCCTAAGGAAAAGTTAGGGTTTTCTGTTTGTAACTGTAATACATTGAACATGTGATGTTGAAAAAGTCTCTACAAATACCAGTTTCATGCTCAAAGGCTGCCTTCAGCCTGGGCGACATAGTGAGACCTCATCTCTACTAAAAATAAAAAATTAGCTGGGTGTGGTGGTAAGTGCATGTAGTCCCAGCTAGTAGGGAGGATGAGGCAGGAGGATCACTTGAGCCCAGGAGTTTAAAACTGTATGAGCTATCATCACGTCACTGCACTCCAGCCTGGGTGACAAAGCGAGACCCTGCCTCAAAAACAAAAACAAACAAAAGCTGTCTTTAAGTCTTCTCCAAGCCTCACTTGCACTGAACTTGTCCTTCACAAATAGCGCTTCCCTTGGGCCCTGAACACCTGCAGCTTGGTGAAAAGACTGGCACCTTGGTGCTCCCATAGTCCCACATGTGGAAATCAGCTGAATGCAGGTTCCCAGGCCTCACACCAGATACTGAATCTGCTTTCTTCACTATTTCCAAAGAAAGCCCCTGCCCAAGTGGGTCTCAGATGCTATGCATGGGACCTTCTGACTAGCCTGTACTCAGGCAAAGTGCCCACTCCCCAGGCAGTCCAGCCAGGAAAGGTTCAGAGAGGGATTGTCAGCACTAGCTGGGTCATATCTCACTCTGACTGGCCCCCTTTGGGGGAGTAGCTTGATTTTCTGTAAAGAGCCTATGCAGGGAGGGGAGGCAGGGGCCCCCACTGTGAAGGCCCTGGGCCCTTAAGGGTGTGCCCCTTAGCTATTGCTCTGGAACAAACCACCCCAAAGCTTGACACTTTGAACGATAGACATTTATTGTTGCTCATGAATCTACAAGACAGCGGGGCTGGGGGAGGTTCTTGTCCGTCTGCTCTCATTTTGTGCTCTGCTGCTCTAGGATGGCCTCTGAGATAACGGGCTCTCCTCCACATGGTGTCTGATCCCAGCAGGTCACCCTAGTCATGCTCACATGGGACCTGGGCAAGGTTCCCTGGGAACTCAAAGGCCACCTGAGGCCCAGACTCAGAACTGACACATGGTTACTTCTGCTGCACCCTATTAGCCAAAGAAAGTCACTAGGCCGGACCAGATGCAAGGGCTGGGGGAAATAGACTCCGCCTCTTGGTGGGAGGTGTAAAGTCACACGGCAAGGGGCCGGGATACACAGACTTTTTGCCATCTATCACATGATGCCTACTCCCAGGCCACAACTTTATGGAGTGGTCCCAGCCTGCTCCCACCTAGGTTTGTATGAGGAGAGGCCCCAGGTGCTCTCAAGCTAGCTCTAAGCGGCTGCTCAGTCCAGGAGGGGACAGGGGAGGACCTTGTTACCTGCCAACCTAACAGTGTTGCCAATAGCACCCTCAGTTTGTTAGCTGCCACATCTCCCCTCTGCTCCCGAGGCCAACCTCCTAGGTGAAGGGTAATTCCCCGCCTTGCCACAGTGCTTCAGGCACCCGTGCAGACCTTCCCCCACAGCAGGAACTGGCTCAGCACAAGCATGTTCAATTCAGGCCAGTGAGACTGGGGCAACTGTTCTTTGTCCCTCAGGCTGGAACTGCTACCAGACTGGATCGGGCACATCGTGAAGTCTGCCACCTTTGGATTGGCATTATGAGAGCTAATAAATCCCCCTTTGAAATCCCCAGAGCTCAGAGGGGCTCTCTGGGCCAGGCATCATCCATGTATTCCGCCAATATCAAATTAAATGGGTTTGGCTGGGCCAGGCATCATCCATGTATTCCGCCAATATCAAATTAAATGGGTTTGGATCACACAACACAGAATGCGAGCAACGTTTCTTTCTTTTTTTTTGAGATGGCGTTTTGCTCTTGTCACCAGGCTGGAGTGCAGTGGTGCAATCTCAGCGCACTGCAACCTCTGTCTCCTGGGTTCAAGCAATTCGATTCTCTTGCATCAGTTTCCCGAGTAGCCGGGATTACAGGCACCCGCCACTACGCCCAGCTAATTTTTGTATTTTTAGTAGCGACGTGGTTTTGCCATGTTGGCCAGGCTGGTCTTAAACTCCTGACCTCAGGTGATCCATCTGCCTCAGCCTCCCAAAGTGCTGGGATTACAGGTTTGAGCCCCCTTGCCCAGCCAATGTTTATTTCTTTAAATAAAATTTAATCTGCTCCCAGCTGCAATTCTACAGAGAGGTGGACATGCTTCTCCTTACCCACCTGGGTGGTAAAATCCTGGGGTTCTCACAAACTCAGAATATTGGAGTAGGGCTCTGGTCCTTTAGTCTGTTCTTGTCACTGCCAAGATGCCTGCCTTCCTGGGCTGAGTGTACCCTGGGACTCAGCCTCCTCATCTGAGGTGCCATCTCCTCTGCAGGCCCAAGGAGAATATTGGGAGTTGGGGGTGGAAACATATCTCCCCTGGACATCTATCTTAAATCTGTCAGTTACCACTCCCCAGCCCCTTACTGCTCACCACCCCACGGACTTGACCCTCTTCTCTCTTTCCTGGGAAGAAGATGGCTTAATGTAGTTTCTTCTTGAGGCTGACTTTCACCAGCAGGCATTCACTCAGCAAGCCTGTCCTCAGGGTGGAACCCTCTCTAGCCCACGGGGTCCCGGGACACTGCAGAACCAATCCATCTTGGTCCCTGCCCTGGGTGAAGTCCTGTCTCCAGTGGACCTGATCTTGTTGGATCTGGGCTGCTTCTGATGCTACAGAAAGGGGAGGAGGGGGTGCTCCAAAGTCACCCAGGCGCAGCTCTGGGTTCTGGCCCTCTAGGCAGGTCACATCGCCTCTCTGAGCACCTGTGGCCTCATCAGCAGAACAGGGGCAGGCCAGTTCCTAGGTCCCTGGACGGTAGTGAGGCTGGTGGAGGTGCGTGAAGGGCCAGTGCAACGTTGGCGCTCAAGAATCCTGGCCACTTCCTTAGCCAAACGCACACTGACAGTCGCCACTCAGTCTTGGGGGTTCCCTAGGTGAAGCCACCTGGATGCCGGCAAAGGGTGGGGGTTCCAGATTTCCACATCCGAAGGAGTTCTGGGAGTTCCAACAGGTGGGCACCAGGAATGCCTTGTGCTAGGCTGTAGGGAAGTGTAGGACCTGGGCCGGGGTGGCCAGATTTCGCTTATAAAATTGCAGGATGCACAGTTAAGTTGAATTCCTGATAAGGAGAGGATACATTTTTAGCATAAGTTTGCCCCCACGCAGTAACTGGGCGTCCTGCCTTTTTATCTGGTAATCCTTTTCTGGGCAGATGGGGGCTAGGGAGGGAGAGGGGTGCGGGGGCAGGTGCAGCGGGGCCAAGGGGGTCCCGGCCAAGGAAGAGGAGGCGCGCACCGCGGGCCGCACGCTTTATTGGGACAGTGGGGGTGGGGGTGGCCCGCAAGCGGCTGGGGCGCGCTCTGCCCGGCTCAGGCGGCCTCCAGGCGGCGCGCGGGCCCGGGTCCGGAGCCTCCCTGCTGCAGCGCCTGCAACCTGCGCTCGCGGCTCCGCTCCAGCTCCAGCCAGTGCTGCGCCTCTAGCTGCGCCTGCAGGTCGGAGAACGCGTTGGCGCGGGCAGGGACGCCCCCCACCGCCTCCCGCGCCCGCCTCTGAGTAGTTCCTGGCTGCGGCCCGGAGTGGATCTCCCCGCCATCCCCGCCTCCTCGACGCTGGTCCCTGCGCGCCGCGCCCGCCATCCCCACCCGGCCCCGGCTTTCAGTCCCCCGGGCTCCTCCCACCAACCCGGACTCACGCGGGGCTTGGGGCCCGCGGCCCGCGGCGCCGACACGTGCAGCAAGGCCGCCTGCCTGCTGCGCTCGGCCGCCCTCTCCGAGATCCTGCGCCGCAGCTGCTGCACGCGCTCGTCCTGCGAGGGCGCCTCCGGGGCCGCCGCAAGGGCCTTCTCCTCCCACCTGCCAGGCGACGCGGCGGCCTCAGAAACAGGCCGCCGGGAGGCCCAGGCCAGACCCATGATGCCACCTGTGTCCAAGCGACGCGGGGACAAGGAGCTACGCGGCCGGAGAGGTTCACTGGAATAATTTAGGACAGACAGCGAAGCCCAGGGGCCGCGGTGCGCTCCCAGACAGGACCACCGCGCAGGGGCTGGGGGTGGGGGGTCTCCAGCACTTCTACCCTTTTGCTCTTTTTTTCTTTTTAAAAATTTTTGTTGTTGTTGTTTGTTTGTTTGTGGCAGGGTCTCACTGTCGCCCAGGCTGGAGTGCAGTGGCACGATCATGGCTTACTGCAGCCTTGACCTCCCAGGCTCAAGCAATCCTCCCACCTCAGCTTCCCAAAATGCTGGGATTACAGGCGTGAGCCACGGCGCCTGGCAGCTTTTTAAAAACTTAACATTTTTTTTAAAAGGTATTACAAGTGTACTAACTATATGCATAACTGGGGTACAAAGGTGAAAGCCCCCTTTGACCTCACACTCTTTTGTCTCTTGCCTGGAGGTACTCCCTGCTAACGCTGTGGTGCTGGTGTGTGCATCTCCATAGGTATCTGCAGACATAGCCCTTGATCCTTCTGATGGTATATATTGTTCCCTGCTGGCTTTGGTGTCCGGGGACCTCACAACCTTGGGGTATTTGCATGTGCTGTTCCCCCGTCTCCACCACTCTTGTCTGACTGTCCAGGTCGTCCCTGGTGAATTTATGGCCTGGGGCTTGAGTGCATGCCTGAGCCCCCCTCTAACTTTTTTAGCAGGAAGTAGACCTTTGGAGGCACCCTGACACCAACCAGGCTGCATCTGAGCTCTGCCAGGCCGTGGCCAGCAGCTGGAAGTGAGAGCTGTCCAGGTGTTTGCCACCTTGGGGATCTGGTGGGCAGCCAGCCAGCCCTGAACAGCACCAGCAGCGGTTGCCCTGTGCCTCCTCTGAATTGCAGCCAGAAAAGCAGCCCCTGCAAGGACCAATAGTGAAGGGTTCTCTTCCATCAGCAATGATTAGTCCTTCCTTCTGTCTGCCCTGTCATCCACCCCACCCAGTCCCACTCAGAAACTTTCTCTGGAGCCCTGTATGCCAGGCTCCAAACAAGGCTCTGCTACAACAGCTGGGCCTCCCTGGGAACTAGGCCAGGGTCCAGAGGCCAGCCTGACCCCAGAGCCAGGGGACATGCCTGCCCATGTCTGACCTGGTTGCCAGGGGATAGCCACAAGGGGCTAAAAAACATCACCAGACTGTCCCCCCAACAAGTAAAAAGGCATCTGTATGTGTGTGTATGCACATGAGCTATCTGCCACCCTCAACTAGATCCTGGTTTAAAAAGAAAGAAAAAAAAAATCACAGCAGCAGTCTTTAAAAAATGTTAGCCAGGCTGGGCTCACGCCTGTAATCCCAGCACTTTGGGAGGCCAAGGCAGGCGGATCACGAGGTCAGGAGTTTGAGACCATCTTGGCCAACATGGTGAAACTCCATCTCTACTAAAATACAAAAAGCCAGGCATGTTGGCACACTCCTGTAATCCCAGCTACTTGGGAGGCTGAGGCTTGAACCTGGGAGGCAGAGGGTGCAGTGAGCTGAGATTGTGCCACTGCATTCCAGCCTGGTGACAGAGCAAGACTCCATCTCAAACAAAAAACAAAAAAACACAGTTGGCCTACAGCCTTTGGACACCTGGAGAAATGTGAAAAAAAAAAAATGAGATATTTAGATGATGTTGGGAATTTTTTTCAATTTTCTATTGGTGTCAGGGTGCTGTGGTTTTATGTAGGACGATCTTTTTTTTTAGATGTATGCTGAAGTGTTTAAGAGTAAAGTGTCTGATTCCTGCAGCTACTTCCAAATGCTTCTGCAGACATAAATAGCTAGCTGGCTACGTGAAGCACATATGGTGAAAGGTTGGACCCATGAGCTGGGTGCAAAAATGACCGCATCTGGGTCATGGCATCTAAGCCATGGATGCAGAATTTTGCACCATACTCATGTGCCTGGAAGTCACCTAATACAATAATAGGGGCGAGGGGAGTTATGGCAAGGGAACTTCCTGGGCAGGAGGGTGGCGGGTTGTTTCAAGGAGACCCACCCAGGAGGGTACAAGGCAGGCTTACTGCTCCCTGTCCACCCAGAGGCACCCTCCCCAAGCCCAGTACCAACCTCAAGGCTGCGGATCTCCCCATGGCTGCACGGCACAGCGAGATCTGCTCCACCGTGTTCTGCAGTTCCTGGCTCTTGGTGCGCTTGCCCTGAATGATTTGATCCCGCTTTTCTTCTTCCTTGCGCCGCTGATTCTCTTTGAGCAGGGCCAGCCGCTCTCGCAGCTCCACTATGGACATCTCTCCTTCCAGGCCATAGCCAGGGGTCTTTGGGGTGGTAGGGGAGGCCCCAAGCTGGGCCCTGATGCTTCCCACCAGGATCCCTGCCCTGCTCCATGGGCCCACCCCTTGCCCTTCCCTCTGCTTCAACACTGCTTATGAAACATGCCCCGAGCCTCTCCAGCCTGGGCTCTGCTCTGCAACGCTATACCTTGTGTGGGTCTGCACGTCTCAGCTGGACTGAGGCCCCTCCACTGTGGCAAGTCCCAAATGGAGCTCATGACTATCTCCCCAGCCAGGCTTCGGGGCCTGGGGCAGACAGCCGTTTGCACTCTCCATGGCCTTGGGGCTGGGCCAGGCCCTGCAGCTGGCTCCCCGTGCTCCTCTGAGGCCTGGCCCCTCATCATGCCTTCTCGCACGGGCTTCCAGCAGACCCTCAACCTCCTGCTCCATCCAGCCTCCATCCAGCCTTTGAACACCTGCCCTCTCCCTACACTGCCCTTTCCACCCTGGCCTTCCCTCAACAGGCAGCTCCTAAGTGGTCTCCTCCGTGAAGCCCACCTTGGCCACCCCCAGGGGTTACAGAGGACTGGCTCAGTGTCTGCCTCACCTGCAGGATTGTGAACTCTTAGGGCCAGACCCAGGCCCGCGGCACATGGGTGCTGAGTCAAGGAGGGTGGCAGGCCAGGTTTCAGGTGGTGCACGACCCACCTGTGGCGCTGGTGGGAACCCTGGAAACTGCCTCCCATGGCAGTGCCAGCACGGAGGCTCCCTGAGGCATGGGTCTGTCCAGGACTGTGTCCTCACCTGGGTCAGGTCCACGAGCTTGCCCTTGCGCGTGGGCTGCGTCTCCAGTGCGCGCAGCTGGGAGATGAGTTCACAACGGCGCCGCTGCTCCTCCTGGGCCGCCTGCGCCCTGCGCCGCAGCAGCCCCCGACTCTCCTCAATCACCTCCTGAACTTGGGGGCCAAGCCAGGAGCTGAGGTGGCTGGTGGGTATCAGGGCAGGCGCTGGACAGGGAGGCACCTCTCCCGGGGTTCCCCAGCCAGGCCCCTGGCCTCAGTGCGGCCACTTGGGAGTGCCTCCCTCAAGGGGCCCCGTGACCCTTGACAGCTATAGTAGCTCACTCAGGGAAGGGTGGCAGCCCAGCACCTGAGTGGGGAAGAACGGGGCCGGGCCAGTGACACTTGGCTCCTGACTACCTGTCTGCCGTCGGCCCTTCGCGAGCTTCATCTGGGCGGCCTTGACGTTCTTCTGCCCCTCTATCACCTGCTCCACCAGCTGCTTCCTGGACCTGTCCTCCCGGAGCCGTCTCTCTGCATGCTGCAGCATCAGCTTGGCCATCTGCTCAGACAGTGGACCTGCCACGGTGAGTAGGGCTGCACTGGCTTCCCTGCCTGGTCCCGCCCCGGCCCAGGGCACAGCATGAGGTCTGAAGGTAGACCCAGTCCCTGCCTTTGAATCACCCCAGAACCCAGGTCTAAGCCCATTCACTTCTGGCGGTGCTTTGGAGGTTGGGCCTGCTGGGGAACTTCCACCTCACGTCCTCTCCCTTCCTCCCAGCGTGGTCTTGGGGGGTACCTTCCTGCATTTGATGCCACCCAGTTTGTGGTACTTTGTTGTGGTAGCCCTAGAGACCCAGTGCACCCAGTAGCAACGTAAGCTGTTCACAGTGGAGGGAACCAGGGTAGGGAGCCCGGGGTAGGGGGGACGTGGAATACTCTGTACTATCTTTATGGCTTTTCTGTAAATTTAAAAATTGTTCTGAAATAAAAAAAAATAAAAGTTTCTTTACAAATTTGGTAATACGTTGTATGGAAATAGGAGGTGAAAAAAGTGGGCACCAAAAAATACCAAAAGTCCCATCTCAATCAGCCAGACAATGAGCAGAGAGAGAACAGAGGCAGTCCGCACCGGCCCTCCGCCCCCAGCCACAGCGCCAGGGGCCACGGCACGGAGATGGCTGGGCGCCTTAGGCTGGGAGTGCAGAAGAGGGCGGCAGTGCCTCCGGGCTCTTTGGGAATGTGGAATCAGGGAGGCAGCAGCAGTCCACGGAAAAGGCTCCCGCTTGGGAGTAAGACACAGGATGCTAAGGTTCTGCCTCTGCCACCCTGGTAGCTCCCTGGCAGCAGACAAATCTTGGGCCTCTCTGGGTTTCAGTTTCTTTGCTGGGAAATGAAGATGGCCACGCCCACCTCCTTAGGTGCACTGGGTGCTGGGCCAGCACCCAGCAAGGGCTCAGGAAAGAGTTTCCCCATCAGCCACAGCACCAGCCTCAGCACAGAATAGGGAGTCTGCAGAGAGGAATGAGCAGGGGAAGAAGGAAAAGAGACCCATAGGCCGGGAGTGGTGGACAGGGATAGGTGTTTGACAGTCTATGAGTGTGTGGTCACCGGGCCAGGTTCACAGTAAGGCGAGGGTTCCCAGGCAGTAAGCAGCGGTGAGAGCAGCCTCAGAGCCTGAGTCCAAGGTCACCCACCAGGCTGGGTCCACTCAGACATCAACCTTGGACCCATGGTCCTGCCTGCCGTCACTCAGGGGCCAGGGGCAGCCACATGCATCCTTGGGCCTGCTGTGGATGTCCCACCAGGTTTCCCACATATTCCCTCCTCCTTCCTGCCACAGAGCATGGCTTGCACTGGCTGCTTACTAAGCTCGCACCAAGCCGGAGCTTTCAGTTACCTGCACCGGCACCTTCAAAATTAAAATGAAGGGAGAACACATGGAACAGCATTTCTGTGACCAGAATCAAGTGGAAAAAAGATGCAAGTGCTGCTTGATGAAACAATCTGCCTGAAGACTTCAGTAAAATGTATTCACAGGGCCAGCTGCAGCGGCTCACACTTGTAATCTCAGCACATGGGGAGGCTGAGCAGGGAGCATTGCTTGAGCCCGGGAGTTTGAGACCAACATAGTAAGATCCTGTCTCTACAAAAAATACAAAAGTATCCAGGTCTGGTGGCTCATGCCTGTGGTCCCAGCTACTCAGGAGGCTGAAGTGGGAGGATGATTTGAGTCCAGGAGGTTGAAGTTACAGTGAGCCATGATCGTGCCACTGCATTCCAGCCTGGGAGACAGAGCAAGACCCTATCTCAAAAAAAAAAAAAAAAAGGTATTCAAAGAATGATTAGCCATGACAACCAAAACATGAAATGTCATTGCTTACCCAGGAATTTAGTGTTGATACTAGTACAGCTATTCTGGGTTAATGTCACAGTGATAACAGATTAAAAAACAAGTTATTGGCCAGGTGCAGTGGCTCACGCCTGTAATCCCAGCACTTTGGGAGGCCGAGACGGGCAGATCACCTGAGGTCAGGTGTTCGAGACCAGCCTGACCAACACGGAGAAACCCCGTCTCTACTAAAAATACAAAATTAGCTGGGCATGATGGTGCATGCCTGTAATCCCAGCTACCCGGGAGGCCAAGGCAGGAGAAGAGCTTGAACCCGGGAGGCAGAGGTTATGGTGAGCCGAGAGCATGCCATTGCACTCCAGCCTGGGCAACAAGAGTGAAACTCCGTCTCAAAAACAAACAAACAAACAAACATTTTTTTGTAGACACAGGGTCTCACTATGTTGTTCAAGCTGGTCTCGACCTCCTGGGTTCAAGTGATCTAGCCACCTTGGACTCCCAAAGTGCTGTGATTACAGGTGTGAGCCACTGCATCCAGCCGTAATTTAAAAATATATCCTTTTCCAGCCCCATTGCTAGAGTACTTTAAAACTGATCACTGTAGGCCAGACATGGCGGCTTATGACTGTAATTCCAGCACTTTGGGAGGCCGAGGCGTGTGGATCACTTAAGGTCGGGAGTTGGAGACCAGCCTGGCCAACATGGCAAAAACCCCATCTCCAAAAAAAACCAAAAGAAACCCCCCAAAAAACTGGTAACCATTGAAAAAAACAGAAAAGCACCCAGATAGGGAACTCAATACTGGCTTCTATGAGGCACAGAGGTTCCTTGGAGAATAACTGAGTCTGTGTGTCTTAAGCAGAGAACATTCAGGTAGGCCCCAAACATCTCTCCTCTCAATGGAAAAGATGCTTCCAAAGACTCTGGAGCAGTGCCCAAAGGTCAGAGGAGGAGACGAAAGGGTGCCCATGGGTCAGGTTGTGGTACTAGAACCTCAAGCAGAAACAAAAGTTACAGTTCACTAAAACACATTGAGGCTGTAAAAGCAATCAGTCCAATATAAGCTGCATAAGAAAAACTAAAACTCTTTTTACTTCAAATATTTAGTGCCACCTAATCTAGTTAATTTAGTAAGAAAAAATATTAGTCACATGAATGTGTGTAGCTGGACATCCTTAGACCAGGAGAGAAGCCTGATAATCCCTCTGTAACCTGGTGTGAGAAGAGCGGCATTTTCTTTTTTTTGTTTGAGACACAGTCTCACTCTGTCGTCCAGGCTGGAATGCAATGGCATGATCTTCGCTCACGGCAACCTCCACCTCCCGGGTTCAAGCGATTCTCGTGCCTCAGCCTCCTGAGTTGGTGGGATTACTCAGGAGTAATTAGTTGGTGTGCCATGACACCCAGCTAATGTTTGTTTGTTTGTTTTTAGTAGAGATGGGGTTTCACCATGTTGGCCAGGCTGGTCTCGAATGCCTGACCTCAGGTGATCGGCCTGCCTCAGCCTCCCAACGTGCTGGGATTACAGGCGTGAGCCACCGCACCCAGCCAAGAGTGGCATTTTCTAACTCCAAACACAACACAAGAAAAGAATGTTAAATTCGAAAACATAAAAAGAATATTTGCATGGCAAACACACATCATAAGCCTCATATACAAAGTCAAATGACAAACTGGAAAAAAGCAATCTGCAACAATATATTATGAAGATTATTTTTTCTAACATATAAAGAACATTGGGCTGGGCACAGAGGCACATTTCCATAATCCCAGCGTTTTGGGAGACTGAGGCAGGTGAATCACTTGAGCCCGGGAGTTAGAGACCAGCCTGGGCAACATGGTGAAACCACGTCTCTCCTAAAAAGGTGGTGCACGCCTGTAGTTTCAACTACTAGGGAGGCTGAGGTGGGAGGATGGTTTGAGCTTGGGAGGCAGAGGTTGCAATCAGCCGAGATCATCAGCGACAGAGTGAGACCCTGTCTCAAAAAAGAAAAACTGTGGGTGGGCACAGTGACTCATGCCTGTAATCCCAGCACTTTGGGAGGCCAAAGTGGATGGATCACTTGAGGTCAGGAGTTTGAGACCAGCCTGGCCAACATGGTGAAACCTCATCTTTACTAAAAATACAAAAATTATTCAGGCATGGTGGTGTGCACCTGTAGTCTCAGCTATGTAGGAGGCTGAGGCAGGATAACTGCCTGACCCTGGGAGGCAGAGGTTGTACTGAGCTGAGATCAACCCATTGTACTCCAGCCTGGGCAATGGAGTGAGACTCCTTCTCAAAAAAAAAAAAAAAAAAAAAAAAAAAAACCCAAAGAAAAAACAACAAAGAAAAATTGCTAAGAGAGTAGATTGTAAGTGTTCTTACCATAAATAAGTATATGAGATAATGCATATGCTAATTAGCTTGATTTAGCCATTTCACAATGTATTCGTATTCCAAAAGATCATGTTAGGCCAGATGCGGTGGCTCACGCCTGTAATCCCAGCACTTTGGGAGGCCGAGGTGGATGGATCACGAGGTCAGGAGTTCAAGACCAGCCTGGCCAAGATGGTGAAACCTCATCTCTACTAAAAATACACACACACACACACAAAATATATATAGCTGGGCATGGTGGCACGTGCCTATAATCCCAGCTGTTCAGGAGGCTGAGGAAGAGAATTTCTGAAACCCAGGAGGCAGAGGTTATAGTGAGCCATGATCATGCCACTGCACTCCAGCCTGTGCGACAGAGCGAGACTCTGTCTCAAAACGAAAAAAAACAAAAAACAAAAAAAATTAGCCAGGCATGGTGTGCTCGCCTGTAGTCCCAGCTACTCGGGAGGCTGAGGCAGGAGAATTGCTTGAACCCAGGAGGCAGAGGTTGCAGTGAGCCCAGATCACACCACTGTACTCCAGCCTGGGCGACAGCAAGCTTCCATCTTAAAAAAAAAAAAAAAAAAAAAGGGAAAATCAATAAATCAATAAATCAATAAATCAGCCAGGTGTGGTGGCTCATGCCTGTAATCCCAGCACTTTGGGAGGCCAAGGCAGGCGGATCACGAGGTTAGGAGATCGAGACCATTCTGGCTAACGTGGTGAAACCCCGTCTCTACTAAAAATACAAAAAATTAGCCGGGCATAGTGGTGGGCACCTGTAGTCCCAGCTACTCAGGAGGCTGAGGCAGGAGAATGGCGTGAACCTGGGAGGCGGAGCTTGCAGTGAAATGAGATTGCGCCACTGCACTCCAGCCTGGGCGACAGAGCAAGACTCTGTCTCAAAAAAAAAAAAAAAAAAAAATTATATATCATAAATATATTCAATTGCATTTGTCAAGTTAAAGAAATAAAGAACCAAAAAAAAGTCAAGGAAATGACGGTCAAAAGTGCAATAGAAAATAGACAAAAGACACGAATAGACGGTTCACAGAAATAGACACAGAAATCACTTATACATGTGGACATTTGCTCAAATTCACTGATAAATAAATGAGATGCAAATCAGAACTATACCAAGATACTATTTCTCACCCATGAAATTGGCACAAATTCACGAATTCAGCCTGGTACTCTGTGCTGGGGCATGCGGATCAGACCCCTCTCACACTTTGGGGGAGTAAGATGGTAATAAAAGTACCAGGGAGACGATTGGCCACATTCAGTAAAACCACGCATCCCAAACGGCAAGGACTCCCGCATATCCAGTTACTCTTTGGTGTGACATCTGAAAATGTAACTTCCTCTAGAAGTTTATCCTGAAAATCCAGCTCTGCAAAGGTGAAAGCCTTGCACATTATTCTTTGCAGATAAAGCAAAATGTGACCTTTTATGTAACAAAAAAGGGAAGGAAAAAGTACATATATACAAGGGTGTTATTTGCTTTGAAAGACGGGAAAGGTAATCCAGAAATTCATGAAAGGAAGGACCTACAAAGGAAGATGGAAATGGATTGTAAGTTATAGACTTACAAGAGGTGAGACTTCTCTGAGTCTACCTTTTCACATTGTTTGGACTTCATTTTTTGTTTGTTTGTTTGTTTTCTTTTTGAGATAGCTACACTCTGTCGCCCACGATGGAGTGCAGTGACATGATCATGGCTTACTACAACCTTGACCTTCTAGGCTCAAGTGATCCTCCTACCTCAGCCTCCTGAGTAGCTGGGACTATGGGCACACACCACCACACCTGGCTAATTTTTGTATTTTTTATAGAGACGAGATTTTGCTATGTTGCTCAGGCTGATCTTGAACTCCTGGGCTCAAGTGATCTTCTGGCCTTGGCCTCCTAAATGCTGGAACTACAGGTGTGAGCCACCATGCCTGGCCTGACCTTCATATTTCTTTTTTAAAGTAAAAAGGAAAGAAAAGGCAAACCTTAAAATTGAATGCAGACACAGACGAAACTATCAAAAGAAACAATCTGAGTGATCTTTGATCAAGCCCCTGACCACAGGCCTGCAAAGGGATACGTCCCAGGAGAGAGTATACAGGCCGGCCTCCTGTGGCTGAGGCTCCCTGCTGGTCCAGGCCACTGGGAAGCCCACTGGAAGGAGCAGGCACTCTCGGGGAACACAGGCTGAGAGTGCCTATCTAGGCAGTGTGTCCTTCGAGGAGGAAGAGGAGCCAGGACCGACACATCAGTAGCTTCTATGGGGGTGCTGTGGACACTCGGCTCCACTGCCAGTCCCGGCCCTGCAGCTCCCAGTGGGCACACAGCTCAGCTGGCTGCCCCATGCCCAGCTGTCCCGCATGGCACCCACCTGCTCCTTCTGCTGCTCCACTCTCTGCTTGTTCTCCTGCATGAGGCTCTGCCGGGCCAGGACGGCCTCCTCATGGCTAAGCTTCCCTTGCAACCGCCGGCACTCGCTTGCAGCCAGCTGCTCTTCCCGGTCTTTCGCCTGCATCTTCTTCTGCCACTCAAGGAACTCAGAGAAGTCCCCAGCCCCATCCACGAGCTTATCAACCCTGGGCAAAGAGGGACAGAAGCACAGCTTGGGGTTCCTCCCGTGATGGAGGCTACTGGGTGGCCACAGATTTTCCTGGGGGACAGTGGCTATGCAGGCGTGGGCTGCTACTCCTGACACCCAGCTGCGTGGCCTGCCCTTACTCCTACACCCCCGAACCACCATCCACCCATCAGCCCCATCCACCTACCCCTCCCTTCATCCACTTGTTTGTCCAACTGTCTGTCCACCCACCAACCCTGTGTCCATCATCTGTCCATCCATCAACCTTTTGTCCTCCACTGGCCTGGCCACCCTTGCCCCTGTGCACCATCTGTGGGTCCACTCTACCATCTGGTCAGGCACCCATGCTCCCCCCACAGCCTGACTCGCAGACAAGGAAAGACATGACCACATTGCGTGGGGTAAGCACAGGGCTTTGCAGCCCTGGTGGTCTAGGAGATGGGGGCATCGGGAAGGGGTCCAGAGAGGAGGTAACCCCAAGGGAGGTTTGGGGTGGGTCAGGCCTTTGCTAAGTTCCTCCACCCCCATTCATGCCCCTCCATGAGCCGGGATGATCTTTTTTTTTTTTTTTTTTTTTTTTTGAGATGGAGTCTTTGCTCTGTCGCCCAGGCTGGAGTGCAGTGGCACGAACTCGGCTCACTGCAAGCTCCGCCTCCCGGGTTTACGCCATTCTCCTGCCTCAGCCTCCCGAGTAGCTGGGACTACAGGCGCCCGCCACCTCGCCCGGCTAGTTTTTTGTATTTTTTTTTTAGTAGAGACGGGGTTTCACCGGGTTAGCCAGGATGGTCTCGATCTCCTGACCTCGTGATCCGCCCGTCTCGGCCTCCCAAAGTGCTGGGATTACAGGCTTGAGCCACCGCGCCCAGCGAGCCGGGATGATCTTTGTAAGGTGCACCTGTGACCCTGACACAGTCCTGCTTGTCGCCTCTGCCGCTGCAGGACCACAGCCTGTTGTGACCTGAGCCCTCTCCACAGAGCTGCCCAGCCCCCAGGCCCCTCCTCTGGGCCTTTGCTCCCAAGGGTAATGCTGTGGAAGGCAGGTGGGGGGCCTGCCACCCTTCACCTCTGCAGCTCTTGCTCCACCTGCCGCTGGTACAAGGCCCCTTCTCGCAGGATGGCTGTGGTGTTCAGCTTGACTGGGACGTTGTCGGGCTGTGGAGTGGGGACTGGCTGTGGTGGGGACTTGAGGGGACCCTTGGGAGCAACAAGTGACCCTCCTGCCCTCATGCCCTTCACACCTACCCCCTGCCCAGGTGCCCTTTATACCTACCCCCTGCCCTCGTGCCCTTCACGCCTACCCCCTGCCCGGGTGCCCTTCACACCTACTCCCTGCCCGGGTGCTTCCCTCTCCCCCAGAGTGGGGCCGTCCTTGGGACTCTGGGTCCCCCAGCTCAGGTCATCTGAGCCTCTAGGGACAGAAAAGGTCTGGAGGGGTGGGTGCCCAGGGACAGCAGCCTGACCATCCAGGAGAATCCCTCACCCTATAGAAGGTCAGCTTCGGAGTCTTTCGGATTCGGGGTGGAAATTGAAGCTGCAGCTGCTGCTTGGAGCCCTGTAGGAGTCAGGGCAGAGCTGGCCGCCTGGCACCTGTGCCTGCTGGGTGCCCCCAAACACACACCAGGTGGATGCTGGCCCAGCACCCTGGGGAGGCCTGGCTCACTCCTCTTCATCCTCCCCACAGCTGCCTGTGCCTACCACCACCCCAGGTCAGCATCTCTGTCTTCCAATGCCCCCCAAACCTTGCTGGGGTTCCACCCAGGTTGGAACAAGGAGGGTGCAGGGCCTGTGGGCCTGGGAACAGTGGTTTCTAGTCAGGACAACTTGGCCTCAGAGCTCAGTGACTCTCTTCTCAGCCACCCCCAGAGCTGGGGTCTGGCTGGCCCCCATGGCCTCTCCCCAAGCTTGTCTGCTCCTGGCCCAGCCTCCAGCTGCTTTGCCAACACACCCGAGGTGGGCACCGCAAGTTGCAGTGAGTGGAGTGGCTGCAAAGGCCACCCCTCTGAGCACTCAGCCAAGTTGGCCCCGTGGCATGCACCATGCGGGCTGCCCACCCCGGGTCTGCCCTCACGGTGAGACCCCTGCCACCCAGTGGGGCCGTGCTCCTGAGTGAACCCCGCCAGGCACAGTCTCTCCTGTCCTTGCCGCTTTGCTTTTTCTTTATTGGCAAACATACCTGGGTTTGTTTTTTCCTTACAGAGGCATGAAATGCTCGTCACAGAACATCTGGAGACACCCAGAGGCAGCACCTGCAGGTGCTTTCCCGTGAGCTTCCTCCCAGGGGATGTGGATGCGCATCTACACCCGCCTGCTTAGGGGCCACACCGCAGTGGGCTCAAGGCGCACTTTCCCAGTGTTACTGAGAGTCCGCCCCCCACCGGCCCTCAGTGGTAAAAGGCTACATAAGTGGTCACTGCGATAATGTTGGGAGGAACTTTCTGATGGCTTGAGAAGATGCCACCTTGATGATGAGTCTTGAGAGAGCTGGACGGTACCTGCACTGGCTTCCCGCAGGACCTGGGCATGGCGCAGCGCAGTTCCTCAATGTTTGCCCTCAGCAGCAGCTCCTGCCACAGTGACATGGCGGCTCCAGTTCCACCAGCCTCTGCCCAGTGTCCTCCAGGCCATGGGAGGACGAGCTTCCACCCAGTCTCTCCCCTCTTGCCTCCTCCTCCCTCTACCCACCCCACCTTCCCTTCATACATCCCCCACATGGGGTCTCTAGGAAGGCAGGGGTCGCACACAGCTCACCTCGGCCTTTCGGCGGTTGTGCCTCTTGACAATCTCCAGCTGCTCCTGCTCCTTGGGTGGCTGGTAGGTGCTCTGGGGGACCTGTTGAAGTGGTGGGAGGAAGAGCCTGTGGTCAGCAGCTACGAGTGGGAGGGGCCCAGAAATGCCAGGGCCGACAGCTTGGTGGATGTAGGTGAAGGGGAGGGTGGTGGCGGCCTGCACTGGAGGAGAAGCAGGGCTGGAGCTAACACTGCTAGGTGCTGGTGGGTCAGTGTTGGAAGTAAAGGGAAGGAGGTCAGGCTGGTCATTGGCGTGGGGTCTGGAGCTTGGCCGGGGATGGGGTGGGTGGGGTAAGATGTGAGCCAGCAGTACCAAGGGCGCACCATCGGCCAGCATGGGATGGCCAGGGTGGGTAGGAGCAAGAGGGGGAGGCAGCCAGCTCCCTTGACACTGGGAGACAGGCAGAAGATGGCTGCCTGGGCAGGAGAGGCTGGGAGAATATCACAGACCCCTGCAAAGTAAGCTGTGGGGAGGGGACACTGCAGAGGCCAGGGCGGCTGGACCACATCCCCGAGTCCAGTCACAGAAGGCTCCGATAACATGGCCGGAGCTGTGTCCATGGAGGAGCACGAGGAGGCCGGCCCAGCGCCAGACTGCTGTATCTACCCTGCTAACTCCATGCCTTCTCCCCTGCACATCTAACAGTCATGGAAAATCAACTCGTCCAAACCTGAAACCCTCATCTTCCTCCAACCAGCCCTCCCTCAGCCTCACTGACCACAACTGCTGTCCAATCCTCACTCATGCCTCAGAGTCCTCCTTGTCACCTGTCTCTCACACCCACATTCATCTCCTGCCCACCTGCTTCAAGACATCTCCACAAACTGCCTCTCACCACCCTCCTTGGCCACGGCAGCTGGAGGGATCCTATGTTGGCGCCAGCCTGCCCCAATGCGTCCTGTCTTTGGTCCCTCCAGTGCGTGTGTGACCAGACTGGTACCCCACCTTCCCTCTTCCCTGCCTCACTCCACTCCAGCCCCTCCTGGCTGCCCTTAAACACTTGAGGGAGGGTAGGCACTGCCGCGGGGCCTTTGTCTGCACCTTGCTCCTGCCCGGGATGCTCTTCCCTGAAACACCCCATGGTTGACTTGCTCACTTCTGGATTTTTACTCCATGGCATTTCTCAGGAGGCCTTTCCAGGCCACACAATCCAGAATCACAACCGCTCAACACTTCTTATCTCCTTTGTCTGCATCCTTTTGTCTCCTCAGCATTTATCACCAGTTAATACAACATATGTTTTACTTATCCTGATTTTGTCTGCGTCCCCCACTGAAGTGCATGCTTCGTGAGGTCACAGTGCCTGGCATACACTTGGCACTCTGTAACTATCTGTTGGATGAATGAATAAGTGAATTCCAGTGGGCCCTCAACCCTGAAGAGGAAGGATGTCTTAGGCATGGGACAGGGTAGGGAGGGTAGAGGATAGTTTCAGCACAGCCACTCTGTGGATGCAGAGAAGGTACATGTCCACCAACATCTCACAGATTGTACTGAGAAGCACACAGCTATAGAGCATGGGAGGGCATGGTGAGGGCCCAGGCAGGGGCTGTGCCTAGCAGGCAGGCAGACAGAGAGAGAGAGAGAGAGAGAGAGAGAGAGAGAGAGAGAGAGAGAGAGAAAGCTGGCAGCATGACCTGAGACAAACACACTGAGCCCTGAGGAGATGGGGTCAGAAATGCTGAAGATTATACAGATGGGGCAACTGCGGGATTGCTCAGCAACAAGGTCTCTGATCATCCATCCTTCATCCACCTCCATCTAATGATTCATCCATCTGATCATCCACCCACCCACTCACTCACCCACCCATCCATCCATCTGTCTATCCATCTATCCATCCCTCTATCCATCCATCCATCCATCTATCCATCCATCTATTCATCCACTCATCCATCCATCTACTTATCCTTCATGAAGCCAACAATCCATCCATCCATCCACCCACCCATCCATTCATTCACCCACTCATTCATCTACTCACCCATGTGATCATCCATCTATCTATCCATAATCTAATCATCCATCCATCCATCCATCCATCTACCCACCCATCCATTAATTCACCTACCCACCCATCTGCTCATCCATCTAATCACCCATTCATTCATTTGATCATTTATCCATCCATCTGGTCATCCATTCACTCACCTACCCACCCATCCAACCATTTAATTATCCATCCAGTCATCCAATCCATCCATCCATCCATCTACCCACCTATCCATTCATTCACCCACTCATTCATCTACTCACCCATGTGTTCATCCATTCATCCACCCATAAACTCATCTAATTATCCATCCACCCATCTGTCCATCCGTCTGTCCATCTATCCATTCATCCATCTATCTACCCACCCATCCATTCATTCACTTACCCATTTATCTACTCATCCATTCATCCATTTGATCATCTATCCATCCACCTGATCACCCATTCACTGACCCACCCACCCACCCAACCATTTGATCATCTACACAATCATCCATCCAATCGTCCAATTATCCATCCATCCACCCATCCACTTATCCTTCCATGCATGCATTTATCCATACATTCATTCACTTATCCTTCCATGTGTCCATCCATCCATCCATCCATCCATCCATCCATCCATCCATCCATCCAGTCATCCATCTATCCATCCACTTATCCTTCCATTCATCCATCCATCTACCAACTCATTCATTCATTCACTCACCCATCCATCTACTCACCCATCTGTTTATCCATCTACCCATCTGACCATCTATCATCCATCCATCCATCTGATCTCCATCCATCCACCCACCCATCCTTCCATCTGACTATCCATCTATCCATCAACTTATCCTTCCATGCATCCAACCATCCATCCATCCACCCACCCATCCATCTACTCATTTATCCATCTACCTGGTGATCTCTTCATCCATCCATCTGACATCCATCCACCCACTCACCCATGTACCCGTCCATCCATTTGATCATTCATCCACCCATCCATTCTTCCATCCAATCATCCATCCATCTATTCACCCATCCAATCATCCATCCATCCACCCATCCACCTACCATCCATCTGATAGTCCATCCATTCATCCATCCATCCATCCACCCATCCATCCAACAGATATTTACTGAGGTTCTGCTTTGAGCCATGACTAGGCTAGGCATTGAGAATATGGGAGAAATAATGGCCAGGGGCGGTGGCTTACACCTGTAATCCCAGCACTTTGGGAGGCCAAGGTGGGTGAATCACCTGAGGTCAGTTAGAGACCAGCCTGGCCAACGTGACAAAACCCTACTTCTACTAAAAATATAAAAATGAGTCGGGCATGGTGGCCGGTACCTGTAATCCCAGCTACTCCGGAGGCTGAGGCAGGAGAATCACTTAAACCCAGAAGGCAGAGGTTGCAGTGAGCCAAGATCGCGCCACTGCACTCCAGCCTGGGTGACAGAGCAAGACTCTCTCTCTAATAATAATAATAATAATAATAATAATAATAATAATAATAAAATAAAAAGAATATGGGACAAATAAGATGGATGATGTCTGCTGGAGGAGGCAGACAATAGGCAGGTCCACAAATTACTAAACAACTCTAAACTCCAATTCTGTGAAGAAAAGGAGCCAGGATCAGTGAGAAGGAAACTAAGTGAAGGACCTGACATGTTTGAGGCATTCATGAAAAGCCTCTCTGGGAAGAGGGATTTTAATGAGACCTGAAGGATAGCGGAAGTGGGGCAGGACTCTGGGGCCTCCCAGCACCATCCCCTTCCCCTCACATACATCCCTTAGTCCTGTTGCAGAACCTGTTGGTTCTGGGAAGCTCAGTCCATTGCTTGGGGTAGAGCCCGTGACCAGTCAAGACATTATATTCCTGATCACAGTGATCAATTCAAGGCAGGCATGAGACCTAAGCTGGTCCAGTCAGACTTTTCCAAAGAATTCTTGGCCCCAGGTGTCCTCTCACGCCCTGGATGGTATAGGTGGTGGCAAATGAGGATATTTTGCTATAATCAGGGAAGTTAGCCCGAAGATGAATTAGACTTACAGAGGAGACTAGGACAGAGAGGCACAGAGAAGCAGAGCTGGAACCCTGGTCACGTATGCCTGAAGCCTATCCTACTTCACTCAGTAGAGCCCGTGCTCTATTGTCTAAGCCAGTTTGAGCTGCATTTTTCTGTTATTTGCAATACAAAGCATCCTGACTGATAAGTCAGCAGTGGGGAGAGAAAAAGAGAGGAAGAGTCTCTAGGCCTGCCCAAAGAGTATGCTGTTATCTACGTGTCATACTTAATGGGGAGGGGGTGTTGCAATACGCCAGAGTTAAAAGTGGGCTCTAAGCTCCAACTCCAGACAGGTCGGAGCCCCATGGCCTGACAGCTCCACTCAACACCTACTTAGAGGACCACAGTGTGTGGAGTGTCGGGGTCAGCTGGGCTTCCCTCTCTGTGGGGAGTGGGAGTGGGCGTGGGGGTGGGGTGGGGTCATTTAGTGTTCCTGGTCTAGTCCAGTGCACCCTCAGCCCTGCGGGGAGCCCAGTCTCCCACAGGCCCACACAGTCTACTCTCCCAGCCTGGCCACCCTGATGCCTGCAAGCCGGTGCCTGCTGAGAATGCCCACACTCACTGGTCTCGGCTTGGCCACGACCGGGACTGGCTCAGGCGCTGGAATGGTGCGAGGCCTGGGGGCAGTCAGGTTGAATTCCTTGTGCTCTGTGACCTTGGCCTTGGTCTTTAAAGGAGAGGACTGACTGGCAGACATGCCCTCCAGGTGGTTGATCAGCTCCTGGACCTTTGGCTGCCATCTTGAAGGCAAAAGTGGAAACGCCTCTTATGGTCACTCCGTAAGCTATTCAATAAGGCGATGGCCTTTAGGATCCAAAAGGCTCCCCAGGTGATTGGATCCACCTTGGGGTAGAGGTGATAGTGGGGTGGATGGCCTCACTTCACGAAGTGCCTTCTACTTTTAGGCACACACACTGTCAACCACACCCCTGAAACATATACAGATGCAGTCCCCTTGTACAGATACAGGAAACAGGCCCAGAGGCATTGGGCCATGCTGGTGAGTGGGGAGCTGAGAGGACAGGCACAGCCCTGCTGCAGGAATCCAGGGGCTCTGAGGACAAGCAGTCGCCAGGACTCAGGAAGCCAATCTGGGCCGGAGCAGATGGAAGCCAGCAGTGGAGAAAGGAGCTGATTGGAAAGGAACATTCTGGAACTACACTGTTGGTGACTCCTGGAAGTGGAGCTGTGGAGTCAGGCGGGGCAGGAGCCCAGTTGTACTTGGTACAGCCTCTGGGTGGGGGTGCTCCGGAGCAGGGGTTTGGGAAGGGCCTTGCCAGTCTGCCCAAGTCTGGGGCTCCCCCTTCCATGTCCCACACCCTGCATGGGCACAGCCCGCCATCACCAGCCTATCAAGTGTCCTCTCATGTGGGCTCCCAGGCGGCAGAGGGCATGGCTTGAAATAGCTCCTGCCTCACCTTAAGAGCCATGGTCCAGGGCCTATAGGGTCTTGGGGGTCTCTCCAGGGCCAGGCCCCAGTGCTCCCAGCTTGAGGCAGGTTGGGGAGAGGGGCAGGAGGTTTGTGATGGGCTGGTCCTAGAGCAGGCAGAGGAAGCCGACTAGCGGTGGTGGCGCAGGAAGAGGAGCTCATGGGAACTGAGCTGAGCAGCTTCCCAGAGACAACCCTGCAGGCCCAGGCCATGGGGGCCCCTGAGTAGGCAGTGAGTCCAGCCTGGGGCACAAGGTAGGGGCACCAGCAGGGCTGCTCCTACTCCTTCCTTTGGAGGTTTATCTTGATTGCCAGGAGTGGGCTGGCTGGGACTGGGGATTTCCCCTTGGTAAAAGAACATCTCCAGGGCCTCCTCTCCCCATAGGAAAGGCTTCCATCTCCCCGGGCCTCCAGGTCTTCTGCACCCAGCTGGCACCTAAGTGGTCTGCTTGTGCCAGAACAGTCTGTCTGTCTGTCCTTAGGAAGACAAAGTGGCTCCCCTCAGTCCTATCAGAAAGGAAAAAACCGGGGGGCCCTCAGCTGCACCCAGGCCCCAGTGGGCCTCTCCATGGAGCACAAGGCAGGGCCCTAGTGACTGTGCTGACCCCTCTGTGTGGGGGTTCTGGCCTGCCCCGGAGTTTGCCCCAGGCCTGCTGGGGAGGCAGGAGAAGGCGGCAAGGGCAGCATGAGGGCAGCAGGCCTGGACATGGCCCTGGGGACCCCAAGAGAGATCTGGACCCCAGAATCCACCAGGAACTGATCTGTGGCTTCCTCAGCTCCCTCCACCCCACCCCTACTCTGCACTCTTGGGATCTGCAGAGAGGCCAAGGGCCCTGCAGGGTCCCCACAGGACTAGAGCCACCAACGCAGCCCCAGCCAGCACGTAGGCCCCAGCGCAGAAGGGTCAGCTCTGCCCCATTCACTCAGCCAGTCCTGAAATGGCCTTCAGCCACCCACCACGTGTCAGCTGCCTGGCATGGGGGGAACCCAGGCTGGCGCTTGGGCAGCTGGACCATGTCCGTTCCTCCCCCCGGAAGCTGTGGGGCCAGCCCGGGACTTGGGGCATCTCCGAAGCTCTCATCCCAACACGGAGTGATTACTGACACTCATAGAGCTTCTGGGAGCAGGAAGGGGAATGTGGAGCTCCTGTGCCCGTGGAGGCACCTGGAGTGGGGTACAGATGCCATTCAGGGCCCCCAGAGCACCCCTTCCAGCCCACCTCATCAGGGGGTCGAGCCAGTTCTCCTTCACGTGGGCCGGCTCGTAGATGAGGCTCCACTCGTCCTCGATCCACGAGCACAGGTGCAGGGGGTTGAAGAAGAACCTAAGGAACTGGGGTGGAGCAGGGCTGTCACGGGCCTGGAGCTGTGGGCCCAACCCCTCACTGGGCAAAACCCCCAGCACCCCCAATGAGCTCCCTGCCCCCAAGGCCCCCAGCACCCCCAGTGAGCTCCCTGCCCCCAAGGCCCCCAGCACCCCCAGTGAGTTCCCTGTCCCCAAGGCCTCCAGCACCCCCAGTAAGCTCCCTGCCCCCAAGGCCACCAGCACCCCCAGTGGCTCCCTGCCCCCAAGGCCATCGTGCAGGGTGTGCTTCTGGGACTGTCACTACGGAACTCTCCTGGTGCTCTGATGTGCAGTGCTGGTGCTGGTGCTGGAGGCCTGGACCTTGGCTCCCCTTCCAGCTGGGAGGAACACAGCCCCCGGGGCCCCTGGGTGGGCTGCCATGGGGAAAGGGGTGCCTGAGAAGCTGGCAGCACATCCTCAGCTTGGAGGGCCTTGTCCAGTCAGCTTCCCGAAAGCCAGCTGGATGGGGAGCTAAGAGTCTGGGGCTCCATGGTGATGGCCCCAGACTCAGCACTGGTCCCTGTCCCCACCCAATCCCTCCATCTCCAAACCCCATCCCCACACTCAGTGTCTCAGCTGGGCTGCTGCCACCAGGACCAGCCCTGCATTGAGGCCTCCATCCTCACTGGGGTGTGGTGGGGCAGCCGTACCCAGAACCTGCTGGAGTTGGGGTGGGGCTTTGTGGTGGGTCTGAATCTCCCTCTGCCAGTTGGCGGATTCTCTGGAGCCAGCGGGGCCATCAGCCCCCCACAGGTGTCTCAGGGCTACTCCCTGCAGAGTGAGGAATGCTACCTCCTGGGAGCCACACCGTGTCACTGCTCACCACTGCTGACCATGGTGGTGACAGCACCCAAGGTGTGGCCCAGGGGCTTCCCTGGAGAGCCCACAGGGTGGCATCCCAGTAGCTTGCTCTCCTTCTTCAAGGCCCAGGCTGGCCTCTTCCTGGAGCCCCAAGGTAGGAAGAAGGATCCCAATGGGATGGGCATGGCCCAGCGGGGCATGGGGTGTGGGATGGAGGAGGTAGTCCCTCAGGCAGTTCCCTTGGGGGTTTATGTGGGCTGTTCCCATGGACCTGCCTCCAGAGGCTCTCTCAGCTGGTAAGTACTCAGGCACCAGTGTTGGGGGCACCACCCTGGGCCCAAGGGTGCTGTGCGGCCAGTGCCCCAAATTCCTAGGGAGTCTCTGCAGCAGCCCCTGAGCACTCTGTCCTGGGCTGGTGCTTTGGGGGCTCTGCAGGCTAAGATTGATCCAGGGTCACTTCCACCACTGTGGGACCCAGGGCAAGATAAAACATGGATCTTTGTTCAGTAATTTTTTTTTTTTTTTAAGACGGGGTCTCGCTCTGTCACCCAGGCTGGAGTGCAACGGTGCAATCTCAGCTCATTGCAACCTCTGCCTCCCAGGTTCAAGTGATTCTCCTGCCTTAGCCTCCTGAGTAGCTGGGATTATAGGCATGTGCCACCACGACCGGCTAATTTTTTTCTATTTTTAATAGAGACGGGGTTTCACCATGTTGGTCAGGCTGCTCTCGAACTCCTGACCTCAAGTGATCTACCCACTTCAGCCTCCCAAAGTGCTGGGATTACCGCGCCCGGCCTCAATAATAATAATTATTATTATTATCATTTAGGAGGAGGTCTTGCTCTGTCACCCAGGCTGGAGTGCAGTGGCACAATCACGGCTCATTGCAGCCTCAAACTCCTGGGCTCAAGTGATCCTCCTGTTTCAACCTCTTGAGTGGCTGAAATTACAGGTGAGCATCACCATGCCAGGCTAATTTTAAAAAAAATTTGGCTGGACACGGAGGCTCACACCTGTAATCCCAGCACTTTGGGAGGCCAAGACGGGTGGATCACGAGGTCAGGAGATCAAGACCATCCTGGCTAACATGGTGAAACCCCGTCTCTACTAAAAATACAAAAAAAATTAGCCAGGTGTGGTGGCGGGCGCTGTAGTCCCAGCTACTTGGCAGGAGAATGGCATGAATCCAGGAGGCGGAGCTTGCAGTGAGCCGAGATCGCACCACTGCACTCCAGCCTGGGTGACAGAGTGAGACTCCGTCTCAAAAAAAAAAACAAACAAAAAAAATCCCATTTTTTTGTAGAGATGAGGTTTTTCTATGTTGCCCAGGCTGGTCTCAACCTCCTGGGCTCAAGCAATCTCCCAGCTTTGGCCTCCCAAAGTTTTGGGATTATAGGCATGAGCCAACATGCCCCGCCTGTTCAGCAATTATTAAGAATGTCAAGATAAGCTGGGCACGGTGGCTCACGCCTGTAATCCCAGCACTTTGGGAGGCCGAGGCAGGTGGATCACCTGATGTCAGGAGTTTGAGACCAGCCTGGCCCACATGGTGAAACCCTGTCTCTACTAAAATACAAAAATTAGCCAGGCATGGTGGCACATGCCCGTAATCCCAGCTACTCGGGAGGCTGAGGCAGGAGAATCACTTGAACCTGGGAGGCAGAGGTTGCAGTGAGCCGAGATCGCAACACTGCACTCCAGCCTGGGCGACAGAGCGAGACCCTGTCTTAAAAAAAAAAAAAGAAAAGAATATTAAGATTGTAATAGAAGAGCAGACGCAGTGCCTGCTTGTTTCCGGGGTTTGGTTTCTGGTTTCCAGGGAAGCTGGCTCCAGCTCAGTCTCCAGGTATCTCCCAGAAAATGCCATCAGTTTTGCTGCTTTTTCATTAAAATGAAGAGCTTGCTTAAGCTAACTATACAAATGTGTACGCATCATGAATTACTTACATTTCCATGTGGATGGAAAACATGTCGTTGACATACACAGTGCTGGCTCGGGGCTGCACTCTCCCTCCCTTCACCTGTTAGGTGGCCGAGGCGCTTTGTGAGCCTCCGGTCCCAGATCTCTGGGGCTGCAATCCTGGTGGGTTCTGCCACTCCAGGTCTCTCCCACTTCTCCAGGCTTGGAACACCCCTTGAAGAACTAGTTGCTTCCTTCAAGAGAGACCTTGAAGGTCTGGGTCCAAGGGCTTTCCCACTCTCTTCTCCAGGGAGTAACTCCCCTCAGCTGAAACTGTCCCCTCTATGCAGAGTAAGGAGGAGCAAGCCAGTGGCTAAAAGCCTAGTCTGAGAATTGGCTGTGCTACCCTCTTGCTGTGTGACGTTGGGCAAATTACTTATCCTCTCTGTGCTCCAGTTTCCGCAACCCTGGGATGAGTACCATGTAGGAGCAACCTCACTGGGTCATTGTAAGAATGGAGCAAGAACAGGCACAATGAGTGTCCGGGGAAACCTGGCAGTCACTGGGAGTGGGCAGCAGCCAGCACGAGCAGCAGGCCCAGGCCCAGACATTTCAGTCCAGAGGCCTGTGTGTGCCAGCTTCCCATGCAAGTGGCCCCAGGCAGTCAGGGGCGTGGGCTCCTGCAGGCTCCCCTTCGGGGTGCCAATCCTCAGAACTGACCCCGAACCAATTCCCTGGGACCCCTGAAGCTGCACAGGGAGGAGAGGCTGTTCTGGGCCCGTTACAAGTCAGAAGAGGCCCCCCAGGAGCGGAATCGGATTTCCCCAGGACAAAAGCAGTACATTTACCCGCACTAGTCGGTGTGCATTGGGGTTTTTTTGTTGTTGTTGTTTCTTTGATTTTTAGAGACAGGGTCTTGCTCTGTCACCCAGGCCCAAGTGCAGTGGTTCAATCATTGCTCATTGCAGCCTCAAACTCCTGGACTCAAGTGATCCTCCCGCTTCAGCCTCCCAAGCAGGTGGGACTACAGACGGGCGCCAGCATGACTGGCTTGCTTACTTCTTTGAAATACAAAAGAAAACCACCAGAGTTTCTTTCATTAAAACCAACCAGAATGGTGAAAGGTGGGCGAGGATCAGATGGACCTCACCCGTGGGCCTCGTGGCCTGGAGGGCAGGTAGGGGGGGTTCACCTTGCACATCTTATCCACGGGTTGGGACTTGATGATGTTACAGAACAGCTGGAAGCCGAGTTCCTCCAGCAGGAATGTGGCTAGGTAGCAGATCACTAGAAAACAGGGGACCTGTCAGAGGCTCAGGGACATCACAGGGGCACCAGGGGCACGGTGGGACTGGAGCCCAAGGCCTCCACCATGTCAGGGCACACAGCCACAGGAAAACCTCCACCCTGCTGGTGCCCACCTGAAAATGATACACCACCACAAACAACATTGTCTCAGAGTGCAATGCATTTGTGGTTGCAAAGCACTTCGTCAAATAATCCCATCTGACAAGTTCTCAGAATCTGCAAAGGCTCCCCAGGTAAAAGTGAAATCATTTTGGACTTGTTTGTCAATTCTGAGCAGCTCAGTCATCACCTAAAGCCAGCTAGAACGTGAATAAACCTGGGCCCAAGTTTCCTCCAAGGCAGGAGCTGTAACAGGCCCCTAGCCTGCAGCCTAGACGCACTGCCCATCATAAGGCTCCAGCTGGGTGGCAAGGGGTCGGGGACAGGAGCCTAGCTCAGGACTGGCACCAACGGCTCTGCTCAGTTTCCCAGTACCCTACAGTGCTCGCCCCACTCCTCTCCTTTCCTGGACGAGGGCAGCAAGACCCTGTGCTGGGTCTCAGGGCTGCCCTGATCTCCCCCCAGCAGCACGGGCCACCTGGCTTGCAATGGTCGTCCTGCCCCATGAAAGCAGTCAGCTGTCAGAGGCTACAGGAAGCCCAGGCAGCGAGTCTCTTGTATTCAATCCCCCATAGGACTGTCCAGACTGCAGCCACAGGGTCCATCTTGTCCAAAGGCCTTGGGGTCAGTGGTGGCTAGGGGTCAGCCTATGGAAGGCTCTCGTGTTGTCCAGGCTGCCTTTGGGAGCTGGATGCCCTAAACTGGGGTGGCAGAGCCAGATCCCTCTGCCCTGGGGCATTAGTTCCCTGTCTCCAAGGTCCTGGTCTGCCCTGTAAGGGCCAAGTGAGACGAGGGCCCAGGAAGTCTCTAGTGCAAGGGCAGGAACAAGAAGCTGGCCCCACCTGCCCGCCGCCTGCCTGCCAGGCCTTTCTGCAGAGAGCCTGAGTGAACGGTCTCTGTGGCCTGGCCCTGGGGACCAGTCGGGCACGTACCCATGAAGCGGCTGTGGTCAACCCGCAGGCAGAGTCGGCCATCCTCCACGTAGAAGGCATCCACCACGATGGTCAGCAGCTTCCGGTACTCGAGGCACCCAGACAGCACCTCCAAAACAAAGCTCTGCGTCTGGGGACTCAGAGCCTGGAAGAGAAATAGCCGGTGGGGGGCCCTGGCTGGGCCGGGAGGAGAGGGCAGCGGTGGGGGTGGGAAACTTGGGCAAAGACAGGGATGGAGCGGCCCCAGGGCTGCTAAGGGCCAGTTAGTCGGGTCCCCAGGGCAGCTGGCAGTGCCTCCCCACTCAGGGACTCGTCCCCAGATTCTCCTGTGTTAGCGAGGTGAGGTAGGGGCAAAAACAGAAATAAACAAAGATGATGAGGCAGTGCAAGGAATGACACAAGGGACAAGTACTGTGAGGTTCCGCTAATGAGAACAGGCCACCGCATCGAGGCAGAGCAGAGGGCGCCAGGGGCCAGCAGGCATGAGAGTCGCCTAATGCAGACAGAGCTTCAGTTTGCTCAGGTGAAAAGCTTCTGCACATAGAGGGCAGTGATGGATGCACAACATCATAGTGGGAACGTGCCTAACCCCAGGGAACTCTACACTGAAAAAATGGCTACAGTGGTATATTTTATATCATGTGTATTTTACCACAATAAATATTTTCTTTCTTTTTTTCCCCAAGACGGAGTCTCTCTCTGTCGCCCAGGTTGGAGTGCAGTGGCGTGATCTTGGCTCACTGCAAGCTCTGCCTCCCGGGTTCATGCCATCCTCCTGCCTCAGCCTCCCGAGTAGCTGGGACTACAGGCACATGCTGCCACGCCTGGCTAATTTTTTGTATTTTTCGTAGAGATGGGGTTTCACCATGTTAGCCAGCATGGTCTTGATCTCCTGACCTCATAATACCCGCCTTGGTCTCCCAAAGTGCTGGGATTACAGGCGTGAGCTACCGCACCAGGCCGGAATTTTACTTTTATTTTAGATCAAATCTATCTTTTCCTTTGTGATTTCTTCAGTTGTTTTTTTTTTTTTTTTTTTGAGACGGAGTCTTGCTCTGTTGCCCAGGCTGGAGTGCAGTGGCTCACTGAAACCTTCTCATCTCAGCTTGCTGCAACCTTCGCCTCCCGGGTTCAAGCAATTTTCCTGCCTCAGCCTCCCGAGTAGCTGGGACTACAGACTCCAGTCACCCACGTCCAGCTAATTTTTTGTATTTTTAGTAGAGATGGGGTTTCACCATTTTGGCCAGGCTGGTCTCAAATTCCTGACCCCATGTGATCCGCCTGCCTCGGCCTCCCAAAGTGCTGGGATTACAGGTGTGAGCCACCCCACCCAGCCCTTCAGTTGCTTTTACACTAAGACAACAACAGGGTAACGAGCTACCCTGAAGCATTCCGGACAAGCCACATGACCTTGTGGGGCCTCGGTTTCCACACATGTGAACGAGAACATTTTGGGTACTGCTCTGCAAATAGGGCCATTTCCATGCCCTTCTAGTGTTGCCCTTGCAGTGCAGGGGCTGGAGGCCTGAGAACTACACGCTTCAGCAGCTCTGCCTCTGGGGTTCTGGGCTCTGCTAGCAAGATATACACTTATGGGAGAAATGGCAGGGGCAAGGTTGGGGGATGCCTCTTTTCCTCAGCTCCCCAGGGGTGGTAGATGCTGGGCTTCCCAGAGCCTTCTGCTCGCCCCTGCCTCTCCCACTCCATGTGGTGGGGAGCTGCTCCCTGCAGTGCCCTGACCAGCTGGGAGCCAGGACTGACTCAGCATGAGTTCTTCCGGCCCTTGCAACGGCTTTAAGCACAAGGTTCCCCGTGTTAAATTTAAATCCCTTTCTCCTGGGAGTGCCAGGACTGGTTTCTGGACTCCCCCTGGAATGCCAGCTGGTAGTAACGTTCTCCCGGGGACAGCCCTTCGTTCTAGGACTCCATTGCGGGTGCCTCTTTGTCTTCTCAGCCTCCACATATTGGAGGGGCTCAGGGTGCAGTTTCCCTATGGTGACGTTTGTTCGTTATCTACTTTCTGAGTGATCGCAGCCAGCTTCAAGGCTGACAGCATTCTGATTGCCAAATGGACACCCCAGCCGGCACCGCTCCCTGAACTCAAAAACCTCGATCCTGCTGCCGCTGGGCCTCTCCTGGATACTGGGGCGGACGTCTCAGATGAGTGCGTCTGAAACCAGCCTCCTGGGCTCCGCCCAAGCTGCCCCCACCAACCTCATGGCGCAGTAGACACAGTTCCCTGATCCCAGCGTGTCTCTCTGTCTCTCTTCCTGGCCCCTTGGCTGGGGGACCCCGGCTGCTCTCCCTGCCTCTCCTCTTGCTTCCCCTCAAGTTTCTTTTCGACCCAGCAGTCAGGGCGAGGTTTCTCAGATGGATGTCGCCTCAGGCGTCCTTCCTCACCGTGGCCAGTGAGGCCCTGCATGGGCATGCCCAGCTCCCTCAGAGTCCCCGGCCCGCCCTGGCTCTCTTCCAGTCACACTGGCCTCCTGTTTCCTCATGGGGAACTGGCTGTTCCCTCTGCCTGCGACCTCCTCCTGGCACTATCACCCCACGGCTGTGAGGACTGTGCTCCTGACCAGTCCTCGCGGGACATGGCCTGTCCCAGTCGCGGCATGGCTTGTTTACTGTCCCTTTCCTGGCTAGACGGTCACCTGGGCACTCGCCAGAGAGGAAAGAGAATACATAGATCACGGGGACCCAGTGACATCCTGTGAGTGGGGCTGGGCACGGAGAGGGGGCTCGGTGGGTGAGGGCTCCACCACTGAGCTGCCAGGAGGGGCTCTGCTGGGGGTTGGCACCTCAGTTTCCCTCTCAGTTTCCTGCAGTTGCCAGGCTGTACCCACACCGAGGGCACTGACCTCCCCCTGTGTAACTGACAACATCTTGTGAGAGGAGCCCAGGAGCCAGGACAGACCCTTCCGAGAGCAGTGAGTCAGCATGGCCACTGAGGGTGATGACTTTGCGGGACGCTGCTGACAACCTCCTCTGGCCTCCCCGGCTCAGGCAATGGCGACTCCTCTTCTCATCAATGACGTCTGTGTTTCGGAAGTGTGAGCATGCATTTTTAATAAGGTCAGAGCTTTCAGCCCTGTGCCATCAGCCCCAGGCAAGGCGGGTTGGGCAGGGCCACACTGGGTCAGAGGGTCCTGGAAGCTGCAGAGCCAAGTGAGAAGCTAGTAAATGACATCCCAGTCCATGCCAGGCCGGGCCAGGCCCACAGCCAGGTCCTTGCCACTAATGCTGGGCTGGCGGCCGCGAGGACACGTGGTGTCCAGCCTATTCATAGAGAGGGGCTTGGGGCCTGGGGGTGGGGGCAAGGGGTGACACATGCCTCAGGGGCCCTGGACCAGGTCCTTCTGACCCGGCCAGCAGAGATGGGCCTAGACCAGGTGGGCTCTCTCTCCCAGAGGAGGCAGGGGAGGCCCTTGCCACAGGAATGGGCTCCTAATGGGGAACCAGCCTCAGTCGCTGAGACCGGCCTGTGGCTGCCCAAGAGTCTCTGAGTCTGTGATAAAATCTTGGGCCTTGGTCAAGTTCAGGGCTCCTCAGTCCCCAACCAGGGACAGCAGCAGGCTCTCAGTAGTGAAGGGTCCAGCATTCAGCATCGCTGCAGGGGTCTCTCAGCACCTCCAGAAGTGCACTTGTCTGCTGGACTCACAGGGTTGGGGAAGAGCTAGACCGGGGCCAGGCTGGGGTGGGTTGTGGGGAGGGGGTGCAGGGGAAGGGTGTGGGGCCAGGAGGCTGATTAACAACAGGATTTGTGATTCATGTCACCAATACTTGCTCATCAGTAACGCAAAGCCTGAAGTCAGTTAGAAAAGCAGGCAAAGGAAACGGAGGCTGCAGGGCCACACAGCATCCCTTCTACCCTCCTTCCCACCTAACAGAAAGAATGCCGTCCTGTTGGGCATGGTAATATGTTCAGCTGAAACCATATTTTGCAACTCTCCTTGATGATAGAGCCATGTGACAGTTTTAATCAGTGAAATGTAATGACAAATTGCAAGGTGTGGCCTCCAAGAAAGCACCTTGAAAGGAAGGTAGATCCAGCTGGCACATGCCTTATACTGTTTGCCTTTCCCCTCTCCTCACCTGGGATATCGATGCAATGCTGGAGGTAGGGCAGCCATTTAGTGACTATGAGGCAATAGTACGTGTTAAGGCTGGCTGCGTGGAGAGGAATGGAATGAGTTCCTCATGGCACCATGGAACTGCTGAAGCCACTCTAGACTGCCTGTCTGCAGACTGCTTCTCATATGAGCAAAGATACCTTTAATTGATTAAAGTTACTGCTTCTCTGGATTTTATTGGATCCAAACACAGTTTCCTAACAGATACAGGTCCGAACAGATGGTTCAAAGTGAAATACATATTGCTTCAAAACTTAGGAAAATGTAACAAGAGAAATGATGGCTGGGTGCGGTGGCTCATGCCTGTAATTCCAGCTACCTGGGAGGTTGAGGCACGAGAATTGCTTGAACCTGGGAGGTGGAGGTGGCCATGAGCTGCACTGCAGCCTGGGTGAGGGAGTGTCTCAAAAAATTAAAAAAAAAAAAATACATAAAGTGACTTTTCCCACCTATTTGACTGGCAGAGATAACAATTTTTGCCTGCACATGAGGCTGGGGAGGTTGTAGGGGAACAAGTGCTCCCTATCTGCCCAGGAGAGCAGCAGTGGATCTCCGTGGAGAGCTAACTGGCAATCCACACTGAAAGCATGAGAGCCAGTTACTCTCACAGTAAGAACCTGTGTCTTCTTGGACTTGACCTTGGGTGCACCCAAGATGCAAAGGGACAGGTGGCTAGTCAGTCCCACAGTGGTTTGTAACAGATCTCATCTCTAATCCTTAATTTAATTATATCTGCACAGACTGTATTTCTAAAAAAAGTCATATTCATAGGTAACCAGCGGTTAGAATTTCAAAAATTTTTTTTAAGAGCTAGGATCTTACTCTGTTACCCAGGCTGGAGTGCAGTGGTGCAATCATAGCTCATGGTAGCTTTTAACTCCTGGACTCAAGCAATCCTCCTTCCTCAGCTCCCCAGTAGCTGGGACTACAAGCACGTGCCACTATGTTTGGCTAATTTTTATATTTTTTTTTACAGAGAAAAGGTCTCGCTGTGTGGCCTAGGCTGGTCTCAAACTGCTGGCCTCAAGCAATCCTCCTACCTCAGCCTACCAAAGTGCTGAGATTACAGGCATGAGCCACCATGCCTGACTCATTTTTTTTCTTTTAGAGAGAAATGGGATCTTGCTATGTTGCCCAAACTAGACACGAACTCCTAGGCTCAAGTGGATCTTCCTTCCCTAGACATCCTAGTAACTGGGACTAGGTACGTGCCACCATGCCTGGCTTAGTTTTTTTTTTTGGGGGGGGCCAAATTTAACCCAAAACACTGCCTTTCACCGCAGTCTGCTGTCCAGAGTCTGCCATTTGGTTTATGTATTGTGTAATTTTCTGGCAAGTGGCAGTCTTGAGCCTTGGCCTAGCAAAATCAGTGAGTTGCAACAATTTCTTGACAGCTGGAGAGGAAAACGAGTTGTCCAAACTGGATCAGGATCCAACGCACCATTCCATTCAGGCTTGTGAGGGCTTTTCAAAGGCCGGGCGCGGTGGCTCACGCCTGTAATCCCAGCACTTTGGGAGACCAAGGCGGGCGGATCACGAGGTCAGGAGATCGAGACCATCCTGGCTAACATGGTGAAACCCCATCTCTACGAAAAATACAAAAAATTAGCCAGGCGTGGTGGCGGGCACCTGTAGTCCCAGCTACTCGGGAGGCTGAGGCAGGAGAATGGCATGAACCCAGGAGGCAGAGCTTGCAGTGAGCCAAGATCACGCCACTGCACTCCAGCCTGGGCCACAGAGCGAGACTCTGTCTCAAAAAAAAAAAAAAAAAGAAAGAAAGGATCTGAAAAACCAGTGCCTCTGAGGAACAAGCCTCCTTGCCACCAATGGGAGCATCTGTGCCCGTGCTGGGCAGCCCCTGGATGATCCGTTGTGTCTGCCTCTGCCAGTTTGCTAGTAGTATCGGTGTGCCAGGCTCCCTGTGGAAACGCACACCTGTGGTTGTCACGTTGTGACTTGCCAGGTAGCAACTAGTCTCATCTACCATTAATAATCTGTGTGTTATAGAAAGCAAACCCAAACCCAAACTATTTGTTGTAACAAACTCATTTTTCTGTAATGGTTATGATCAAGAAATAAAGGCATGAACTTTACCACTTTTTGCTTGAGGAAGGGGTAAACACACCCCCTTTCCCTGCCAAGGTGCTGTGTGGCTGCGCAGGCCAAGAGAGCGTCAGGGGAAAAGTTTCTCAGGTGGAGGTAACAGCTAGTGCAGCGGGGAGCACGTGGAATGTTCCAGAAACACTAGGAGACCAGTGCTGCTGGAGCAGAGTGCACACGCGGCAGAGTTGAAGGCAGAGCTGATGATGGACAGATATGGGCTAGAGGAATGGGGCTGCCCAGGAGGCGCCAGGGTTCCCACTCAAGCAAGGGGAGGCGGAGTGGCCACCGTCTGAACTGGGGATACCAGGATCAGCAGCTTTGGGGAAGGTCACATGAATTCATTCACCTGCTGACGGGTCACACGGGAGGTGCCCATTGTACACCCAGGGAGATGTGAGTCCAGGCTCTGGAGACGTCAAGGATGAGGGAGGAGCAGGAGCCGTCAGCAGGTGAGGGGACCAGGAGTGTGTGCAGCACCCCACACACCCCACAGGGGAGGCCCGAACCGGCGAAGCAGTGGCTGCAGGGTGAGAGGCAGGCTTGGCTGGAGCGGGGGCGGGGCGGGGGGGTGTACCCAGGAAGCTGATTGGAAGGCCCGGAGCTGGGGGCGGGGTCAGCTGGGTCAGAGGAGCTGAGGCTGCACCACTGGATTTGGCAACAAGGAGGAGGGGGGCGACTTAGACCGGCTGTGGGTGGAGGGCTGGGGAAGTCTGCCAGGAGGGGCGTGAGGGAGGATGGAGGAAGAGCTGCGGCTCATGGCAGGGACTTCAAGGAGTCTGTTAGATGTCTGGAAGGCCGGGACCGCGGGAGCCGCAGAGGAGTACACAGGGCTTTACTTTTATTTTTCATTTTTTTTTTGAGACGGAGTCTCTCTCTGTCACCCAGGCTGGAGTGCAGTGGGGCCGGGAGTGCGGTGGGACGATCTCGGCTCACTGCAAGCTCCGCCTCCCGGGTTCACGCCATTCTCCTGCCTCAGCCTCCCAAGTAGCTGGGACTACAGGCGCCCGCCACCTCGCCCGGCTAGTTTTTTGTGTTTTTGGTAGAGACGGGGTTTCACCGTGTTAGCCAGGATGGTCTGGATCTCCCGACCTCGTGATCCGCCCGCCTTGGCCTCCCAAAGTGCTGGGATTACAGGCGTGAGCCACCACGCCTGGCCCAGAGGACTTTAAACAAATGTTTTTAGGATGAGAGAAGTAGCAGCACGGGTGGCTGACAGGAAAGATCCTGAGGGAAATGAGGGGACAGACAGGGGGAGCTGCTGGAGCTGCTCTTGGGCGGGACAGAGGGGCTGGGTTGCAGGTGGGCCCAGGCAGTGGGGTGGATGATGCCAGCTCCCAGGACAGGTTTCTGGCCAAGGGGACCTGGGCCTTCACTATTGTCTGTTGTGGACGGGTGTAGGGAGGGCTGGCCGGCAGGACCAGAGGTGTGCCTGTGGTGCTGGGGCCTTCAGGTGGGAAGAGGAGTGTAGATGAATCTGGGCCCCAGCTGTCTGCGTCACTTCCCCGCGGTGCTTAGGGGCTCAGGGAAAGAGCTGGGGGCCAGAGGGTGCTGAAGCAGAGGGAAGGAGGTGCCCACGGAAGCCTGTAGCTCTGCACACAGGCCCTGCTCCCTTCTCCACTCCTTGCTGGCTGCCAGGCGCCTCTTCTAGAAGCTGGGAGCAGGGATGTGTCAGGGCCCCAGGCCTTCCTTACGGCAGAGGCCTTGGCCCCAACCCCTGCAGCCTTTGCAAGCTACTCACACCACCTCCCCTCTGGGCTTTCTTGAGGCTGCCCCAGGGGTAACGAATGAAGGATGAACCCCTCACTCTACCCCAAGGGAAGGTGGCCTCAGACTGTGGCCTGGGGGAACAGCACAGGTGTGTCTGAGCAGGTAGTGAGGGCTGGGGCTGGAGCATGGCCAGGGCAGCCCCCAGGGACCACGCAGAAAGCAGCATACACAGGCCACGTTCATCCAGAGCACGGCAGCACAGAGCGCTGTGGCCTGCAAGGACAGGCAGGCGGCCTGAATGAGCACACTTGCTACGAGCGCCCTCCTTCCAGGGGGCGAGTGCCCTCTCTCTGCTCCTGGGCAATGATGGGTGCCATGAGATGATGGCCCATGAGACAGCCCCCCAGGATTTCCCCCGGTGGGCTCAGCTTCCTCTGGAGGCCCCATCCAATGGAGCCACGTCCCACATTCCTGGAGGCAGGGGCCCTGCAATCCAAGCTCCTGTTCCCTGGGCACCTGCCACTGACAGGTGGCGGATGTGAGATCAGCACCTGGGGATGGGAGCCAAGACTGGGTGACAGGGAGGCCCCTGAGTGGGGTGGGGCTGCCAAGGTTGCAGGGGTTGCCAGGACCAGGATGGAGCTCTAAGGAAAACCCAGGGACAGGAGGACAGGAGCTGAAGAGTTGGGCAGTCTCCAGGTAGGCCTGTGACTTCTTCCAGGTGTGGGCAGGAAGATGACGGAGATGTGTATGGATGCCTGCAGCCCTCGGTTCCCCGGGGGCCTCACTGCCCAGGCCAGCCCCTGCCTCTGTTGGAGACCCGGTCAGTGATTCCCAAGTCTCGGTTACCACAAATACAGCGCAAGCGTGGCCTCACCCACCCTCACTGCCACAGCCCTGGGGCCCCTGGGGGATGGAGGACCCATTTCCCGAGATAAGATGCCCCCCAAAGTGGGGGTGGGGCATGGGGGCACTCCAGGGCTGACCCTTCTCGTCTGTGTTAACTGAGGATGGAACCTCAGTGTGGATGTCATATCTCGGGTTCTGGCCAAGGCTTCTTTTCACCAGAGCCTGGCCTGACACACATTCTGGGTGCCAGGAGCACCTCCCTATACAAAGAGCAGGTCTCTGTGGAAAACACTGTCAGCTTCTCCCCGTTTGGAAGGAAGGCAGTTGTTAGGAAGGTATTTGATGCTGTTAACGAGAACAGGTGCATGACAGGTGCCATTGGCGCAGCCTCCCAGGAGCCCCCGGCAGACCCTACCTGCAAGGAGATGGCCACAGCCTCTAGGAACTGCTCAGGGTTGTCCCTCTTGGGTGTAAATTTGTCGAGTTTCTCGATCACAGTTTCAATGCATTTTCCATAGTAGGCCATCTTCTCAGGGCAGGATCCTAAGAACAAACGGTGCAGGTCATACCCTCCAGACCTGGGATGTGGCGACAGGACCCTCCCCAGCAGCAACAGGAGTCTGCCAGGGTGCTGGGCCTGTAGCAGCGGGGAGGCTGGATGTGACAAGGGCCCTGGCTAGGGTGCTGGACCTGCAGCAGTGGGGAGTGCCGGGTGTGAGTGAGGGCCCCGGCAGGTACCCCAAGGTTCATGTCCTGTACTGTCTCCTGCAGGCCTCTGCAGCTCAGGAGCCCAGGCTGGCCTGGGTGAGTTCACCCTCAGGCCCCCCATCACCACAACCCCAAGCCAGCTGAGTGCCCCTCAGGCCCCACAGCCATGCCTCCTGGATGGGGTGACCCACCCCTGCAAGGGGCCCATGGCAGAGAACAGAGGCACCTCTCAAGCCAGCCTCTTAGCATCCCTCAGCTTTGCCCAGGAAGGTGACGGTTTCTTCGTCAGACCCTGCTGGGGAGCAGAAGGTCCTGGGTGAGGGTGACCTCATCACACATGGTTGAGGCAAGAAGGAGCCTGGGGTCCCTGGGGTCAACACCGCCATCCTGACGACGGGGGAACAGGGCCCTGGGGAGGGCTCACAGGGGCGCCGAACACTCGAGAGGTACAGCAGTTCCAGGGGACAGGCTCGCCCAGAGCCCCTCCCAGGGGACCTTGGAGAAGCTGCCTGGGGTGAGGTTGGCACCCTGTGTGAACCAGCTCTAAGGACAACATGTGGCCCCCAAACTATCCTCAGAGGAGGCGGGGCCTGTCAGCAAAGGCCGTCATCCTTGGGTGTGGTGCAGGCCTGGGCTCTGGCTGGACTACGCAGGACAGTAGGGCAGCACTGGGCAGAGGGGTCCCTTCTCACCCTCCTCTTGCTCTGTGAGTGACCAGCTGTCCTGGGCCAGGCTGGGCTTGCAGGGCCATCAAAGTTGGGGACAGTGGGAGTGCCTCTCCTCTACCCTGCAACAGGCTAGAACAGCCCCAGGTAGCAGTCCCCAGACCTGGACCCTCCAGGCTGGAGCCTGATTAAACAAATACAAACGACCCCCCATAACCACCACTGACACTGGAGGGTCCTCGGTGAGATGCCGATCCTGGCTGTGCTAAAGGGTCCATGTTGATCTGCCCCCCACCTCTCTTCCTGGCCAAGACGCAGAGAGAAGGGGAGGCCAGGTGTCACCAGACACTTTACAGAAACCTCTGACATGAAACATAGAAACCATAAGAAAAGAACCAGGAGAAAACGATGCACAAGGCAGGAAAAAGCCTAGAAACCAGGCACTGCCATGCAAGAGAAGAGGAGATACAGCGTCCAAGGAACAAGCAATGGTTGGAGAAAGAGAGGGCTTGTGGAAACCAAAATATGATGGCAGAACTAAAAACATAAACAGGAGACGGAAGGTAAAGTTGAGGAAATCTCCCTGAGTAGAAAAAGATGAAGCTGTAGAAAGTAGGGGAAAACACTAGGAAAACTAGGGAACTATTCCTGAAGGTCCAAACCCCGATTAACAGGAGTTCCAGAAAGATAAGAGAGAGAAATGCCCTAGAACTGAAGGATGTGGTCTTCTGGGCGGACAGGGCCCCCCTGACAGCTCAGCACAGGGAATGGGTCGTGATATTTCAGAGCCGGGGATGGCCCTGAACACGTTCAGTGGAGGAAGAGTCAGGGATGCAGAGGAATCTCGGCTGGGGGTGCCCTGGGAAGCAGGGGCTGAACCCAAGAGACTGTTGTCATGGGGAATTTCCAGGCCGCAATGCAGATAGCCTCAGGGTGACACTGGCTGGCAGGACAAGGACAGAGCAGGAGGGAAGGGGCTCCCAGGGGTGTCTCCAGGAGGAGCACCTGGCATGTTCTGCGAGTGGGTTTAATCACACAGTTAGGGAAAGAAGCTGTGACGCTGGCCCTGGCCAGGGATGGCATCAGCCCAGGGCCTATGTCCCCACCTCCCTGCTGGCTGCACCACCTGAGGCCTGACATGGGTTTTTTTTTTTTTTTTGAGACAGATTTTGCTCTTGTTGTCCAGGCTGAAGTGCAATGGCACGCTCTCGGCTCACTGCAATCTCCATCTCCCAGGTTCAAGCGACTCTCCTGCCTCAGTCTCCTGAGTAGCTGGGATTACAGGCGCCCACCACCATGCCGGGCTAATTTTTGTTTTTGTTTTTTTTTTTGAGACGGAGTCTTGTTCTTTCGCCTGGCTGGAGTGCAGTGGCCGGATCTTAGCTCACTGCAAGCTCCGCCTCCCGGGTTCACGCCATTCTCCTGCCTCAGCCTCCCGAGTAGCTGGGACTACAGGCGCCCGCCACCACGCCCGGCTAGTTTTTTGTATTTTTTTAGTAGAGACGGGGTTTTACCGTGTTAGCCAGGATGGTCTCGATCTCCTGACCTCGTGATCCGCCTGTCTTGGCCTCCCAAAGTGCTGGGATTACAGGCTTGAGCCACCACGCCCGGCCTAATTTTTGTATTTTTTAGTTGAGATGGGATTTCACCATATTGGCCAGGCTGGTCTTGAACTCCTGACCTTAGGTGATCCGCCCGCCTCAGTCTCCCAAGGTGCTGGGATTACAGGCGTGAGCCACCGCACCTGGCTGGGCTGCCCTTTTAGGGACTGCTGTAGGGACCAGTCTGGTTGTGCATGGACACAGAGGCCAGCAGGAGCCTCTCTCTAAGGAGGCCAGAAGAAAGGTCACTTGGAATTTGGAAATCTGGCTTAAAGCCCTGATGCCAAGAACAGGCCCTGGAGACCAGGCCTCCCAGAACAAAGCGAGCATGAGCCTCTGGCACGGCCAGGACCGTCACTGCCCGGGAGCCTGCCCTGGGCCCTGGCTGGGTCACCTTCCCCCACCCCGTGTCTGGAGACCAGCAAGGCTGCCTGGCTATGCGTTCCTCTGCCAGTGTGGTCCTGATGATTCAGGGCAAAGGAAGAGACGGTGATGCTGCTGGCTTGGAGGACACCAGATCAGCAGCCATTAAACTTGCAAATCCACAGATGCTGAGCTGTAGATGCTGCAGCCAGGCTTGCCTGGGCAAGATGAGAGAGGTTTGTGGGTGAAGCTGCCCAGACCCTCTGAGGTCTCCCACCCCCTCCACGGCCTGCCCCTGGGGACCTGCCACCTAAGCTGCCTCAGCCCACCCTGCAGGAAACCTTTGCTTCTTGGAAGGCTGGGCCATGGAAGAGAGACCAGCCACACCCCACCGCAGCCTCAGTGTCCCTTCACTCTCCTCTAATCCCCTCTAGCTGAGCCTCTGGGGTGAGGACTTCGGCAGCTGTGAGCAGAAAGGCCCAGGAGGCCCAGTAAGCACCCTCCCTCGAGCCTGCCATGGCAGGAACACTCAGGTGGGGACTTAAGCTTGTGACAGCCTCCCCTAAGTCCCTGCTCTCTCTGAATTCAGCCCCTCTCCTCGGGAGGGTCCCAGCAGGCCAGGCCACCAGTATGGCAGGGGTGTGGTGCCGTGAGGTGCAGTGTGGGCGTGATGGCCAACCCTGGTGGGTAGGTGGATCTAGGCAGCCATAACACAGCCAGGGGGCAATAGGCTGCTGGCGGCAGGAAGCACTTTTCTGGGGCATTGCTCACTGGGGATGGGGGACCTGTGGCTTTCACTCCAGGCATTGCAGAGAGCAGTGGGGGCTCCCCGTAGGCAGTGAGCTCACAGCTCACAAATCCCACTCTCCATCTTTGCCAAGATCAGCCACATTGAGGCGCTTTTTAAAACTCCACAGCGTAACTGGGGACTTCTCTACAAAAAAAATTAAAGAATGACTCACGTATGGTGGTGTGCCTGTAGTCCTAGCTCCTCGGGAGGCTGAGGTGGGAGGATCCCTTGAGCCCAGGAGGTTGAAGGTGCTTTGGGCTACGTCTGTGCTACCACACTCTAGCTTGGGTGACACATTGAGATCCTGTTAAATAAATAAATAAATAAATAAATGTAAAAGTCTACTTTTAGAGAAACAATGTTAAAGAATGAGTTTTCTTGCCCTGCCTCCACCTCACGTTGCGGGTCAGGTTGCCCTGGGATGGGGTCCCCTTGCCCCAGCCTTTTCTAATGTGCTCTGGACACAGCTCTGTCTGGAGGAACTGGGTATACACCCAGGAAAGGGTCTCTTCCTGCGCCTGGTACGGGCGGTGAGAGTGGGTGGTCTGCGCGAGCGTGGTGGCAGCTGCTCCCAGGGTGGAAGAGTTTCCCTGCCGTCTCCCCCTGTCCTGGACCTGGAGCATTCTGGAGAAAGGATGATCCTAGGCATCCTTTGGTGATGCAAGTCGAGGAGAGCAAGAGGGCCATGCCAAGCCCGCCCCCCAATCCAGGGCAGACCTGGTAGGAATGAACTGGAAGGAAAAAATGGACAAACCAAGTTGAAGATGGGGATGCAGGGGAGAGGAGCCCCTTTGGAGTCCAGCCTGACTCAAATTGTCCTGCCCTGCCCCTGGATCCCTGGTTCACTGTCGGGCCTGAAGGTCGCTGGGGCGGGGCCTCTGCACCCTGAATCTGGCCCAGAGCAGGTGTACGTGAAGGTAGATGTAAGGAAAAGAGATGCTTGAATTCTGCATCCCACTGAGATTAGCCTAAGAACTTCATCAAAACAATCACAAATTTGGGGAGGAAATAGGTATTAAAATTCATCCACTTCTGACGCCTGCTTTCAGCATCTCAGCTATATTCATGTGTTCACTCATTCTCAAACTCTCAGCCTGATTTTATTTTGTTCCTGATTTAGGGTCTTACTCTGTCACCCAGGCTGGAGGGCAGTGGCTCAATGATAGTTCACTACAGCTCAAGTGATCCTTCTGCCTCAGCCTCCTAAGTAGCTAGGACTACAGGCGTGCACTACCACGCCCAACTAATTTTGTACTTAATTTTTTTTTTTTTTTGGTAGAGACAGGGGTCTTACTATGTTGCCCAGGCTGGTCTTGAACTCCTGGCCTCAAGCGATCCTCCCACCTGAGTCTTCCAAAGTTCAGCTTTAATAGTGAAGTACCATCTATGTGGGAAGTGGGATTTAATTTCCAAGCTTAATGACTTTTTTCTCATATTGATTTTTAACTCCATTGATCAGGACTTGACTATCTTATATTTAAGGTAACTTTAAAGGTGGGCTGGACTAGGCCAGGCACGGTGGCTCACACCTATAATCCCAGCACTTTGGGAAGCCGAGGTGGGCAGATCACTTGAAATCAGGAGTTCCAGACCAGCCAACATGGTGAAACCCCGCCTCTGCTAAAATTACAAAAATTAGCTGGGCACGGTGGCGGGTGCCTGTAATCCTAACTACTCGGGAGGCTGAGGCAGAGAAGTGCTTGAACCTGGGAGGCAGAGGTTGCAGTGAGCCAAGATCACGCCACTGCACTCCAGCCCGGGTGACAGAGCAAGACTCCATCTAAAAAAAAGGGTGGGCTGAAGCTTCTTTTTTCTTAGGAAATATTTTATAGACACAAATGAGATTATATGAGGAGGCTTAAATTCCATCAGACGCAAAACAGCTCAACACTCTCAACCACTAGGAGATAACTCATTTACCTAAGATCTCAGGCCGGGCGCGGTGGCTCATGCCTGTAATCCCAGCACTTTGGGAGGCCGAGGCGGGCGGATCACAAGGTCAGGAGATCGAGACCATGGTGAAACCCCGTCTCTACTAAAAATAGAAAAAATTAGCCGGGCGCAGTGGCGGGCGCCTGTAGTCCCAGCTACTCGGGAGGCTGAGGCAGGAGAATGGCGTGAACCCGGGAGGTGGAGCTTGCAGTGAGCCGAGATTGCGCCATTGCACTCCAGCCTGGGCGACAGAGCGAGACTCCGCCTCAAAAAAAAAAAAAAAAAAAAAAAAAAAAAAAAAAAAAAGATCTCAAATGTATGTTAATTAAAATATAATCTTTTCTCCTGATTGAAGTCAGTCTCCTAAGGGTTGCTGCCAAGTCACGCCCCCATGGCTTCTGCTTAAAGCACAATCCCACGTGGCAGGGTTTGCTAGTTGCTTTTCAATCTCCACTCCCCCTTTCCTCCCAAATAAGAAAACTCTGACTTTTAGCTGGGTCTACTGCTGCCCTACTGAAAGATGGCATTTCCTAGCCTCCCTGGTAGCTGGGGCATGGTCTTGTGGCTAAGTTCTCCCATCACCTTCAAGAAGTGGAAAGGTGTGAGACTTCTGGAAAGTCTCCCTGAACGAGAGGGGCATATCCATCTTCTCTTTTGCAGCTGGCACCTGGGCTGAGGAGGTGATGGCAGGAATGTGGGCAGCCATCCTGGATCATGAAGAAATGTGAATGGCAGCTAGAAAAGTCGATCCTTGAGGACTTTGGGGCTGCCATACCAACCATGATTGCCTCTCCATGACCTCTTTTTTTTTTTTTTTTTTTTGAGACGGAGTCTTGCTCTGTCGCCCAGGCTGGAGTGCAGTGGCACGATCTCCACTCACTGCAAGCTCCGCCTCCCGGGTTCACGCCATTTTCCTGCCTCAGCCTCCCATGTAGGTGGGACTACAGGTGCCCGCCACCAGGCTCGGCTAATTTTTGTATATTTAGTAGAGATGGGGTTTCACTGTGTTAGCCAGGATGGTCTCGATCTCCTGACCTCGTGATCCACCCGCCTCGGCCTCCCAAAGTGCTCGGATTACAGGCGTGAGCCACTGCGCCCGGCAACCTCTTTTATAAAAATATGAGTAATATTCTTGTTGAGGCCACTATGATGTTGGGATTTTTCAATACATGCAGCTAAACCTAACTGATACTCCACATCCCCAAGTTCAGCCTTCATCCCATGGACAATTTCAAACTATAAAACAAAGGAAGGGAAGTTCTGAGCAGATAAAACTGCTCCAGGACCTGGAGTTGGCCAAGGATAGACCCAAAGAGAATAGCCATTCACTCAGTGGACAAGCCCATCAAGTGTCTACCCCAAGATCCTGTGCTGAAGAAATTACGGCTTTGGGAGCAGCAGGTTTTATGGGGGAAGATTGAGAGTGCGGTTTGGGACACGTTAAATTTAAGAGGATCTGTTAGGCGTCCAAATGGTGAAGAACAGGTAAACAGGAGTTTCAGGGTTAAGGCTAGAGATGCAGGTTTTGAGAAGTTTGGGAGAAAATGGTTGTTTATAAAACCACCTGACTGTAGGAAATACCCCAGGGAGGAGGTGGATAGAGTAGCTTCCAAGGACTGAGTCCAGGGTCTCCAGTGTTGAGAGGTCGGTGAGCAAGGGAGGCAACCAGACAAGGAGATCAAGAAGGTGTGGCCAGGAGCAAGGAGGAAAAGTGGACAGAGTGATCTGTTCCAGCCAAGCGAGGACGGTGTGTTACGGAGAGGGCACAGTCGGCTGGGTCACCTGGTGGTGACAGTTCAAGGAAGAGATGATCGCTGACCCCTGATCATCGGATTTTGCAACATCAAGGTCAAGGATGACTTTGATAAAGAGCTTCAGGGAGTGGTTGGGTGAAAAATCTGACTGGAGTAGGTTCCAGAAAGAACAGGTGGGAAGGAATTGGAGATAAGGGACAACTCCAGAGGGATTTTGCCCTTCAGAGGGTCGACTGTGTGGTAGGAAGAGGAGGTTAGGGAAAATCAATTAGTTACTCAAAAATGAACATGGACCCCACCCCCAACTAAGAGAAATCTCAGATGCCAGCGCACCTAGGCTCACATTGAGTCTGATGGAATAAAGTGGTCATGGAGTCCACGGACCTTTCTGAGTACCTGGCCCTGGCCATAAGGAAAACCAGGAACAGGTCATATTTCTAAATTCTGAACGGAGCAAGGCATGATTTCCATCTCCTGTGTCTCACATCCACACGTTTCACAACAAGCCAGAAACGTGGTGCTGGTGCGGCAGGGAAAAGTGCAGCGCTGTGGGGTCAGGCCCACCCAGACCCGCCGTGATCTGGATGCAACCCCCACAGCCAGGGCACGCCGGCCTCGTTGTGCCTGCTTCTTCGGCCGTCAATGGGAAGTTTAAGTGAGGCCACGTGTGGGTTTTTAGCTCTCTGCTTGACACACAGCAGGTACTCAGATTGAGGTGAGCGTTTTAAGGTACAAATTAGGGCACCATTGGGGGGACTAGCGAGGGCGGGAGAGTATCTTTTTAGAACGCACTGCTGGTAGTGGTGATTTAAAAAAAAAAAAAAGAAAGAAAGAAAAAAAGAGGCACCGTTCACTTTCATCGAGGAGCTGGGAAGAAGACCGAAAAGGTGTTTGGGAGAAGCAAGATGAGCAGCGAGTGAGAGGGACCGGCCGGCGGGTCATGAAAGTCGGCGGCGCGTAGCCCCGCACCTGTCCCGCTCCCGTACCTGGCGGGCCCTCCGGGCAGCCGAGCCCTCCTGCCGCCGCCACCTGCCGCCGCCACCTGCCGCCGCAGCAGTTTCCTCCGCCAGCTGGGGCGAAGGGGTTGGCAGTCGCGGTCCGTCAGCTCCTGGTAGGCAGGACGCGGAGGCTGTTTGGCGTCGTCGCCTAGCAACCGGCTGCACGCTCCAGCGCCGAGGGGTGGACCACAACCACCACAATGCACAGCGCCGCGGCGCGGCCCGGGGCGCCAAGTCCTGGGCACCGCCTTCCCGCCATGTCCTTCGGGACTTGTAGTTTCTTGGATCCCCGGGCGCGGCGAGTCTCCCAGCCAGCAGAGAGCGCGCCTCGGCTGGGCGCGGCGCCCGCGCACGGGGATTGGGCCGCCTCCGCCCCGCCCGTCCCGCCCGCCCCGCCCGCCGCTCGTGGTGGGCCCGGGGCTCGCGGCGCCGTAGGCGCATGTGCGGCGCGGGGCGGCCGTGACCAGCGGAGTGCGGGGTGTCAGTGAGCAGCGAGGAGCCGCGCGCCCCCGTGCCCGCGTCTGTCCGTGCTCCCGAGCGCCAGAGTGCCCGCTCCCGGGTCTGAGGGTCCGCCCGGCGCGCCGCTTGCAGAGCATCCTCAGGGCCGCGCACCTGCCCCGCGCGCCTGCCCCGCGCACCTGCCCGCCGCCCGCTCGGCGCTCCGGGCTCAGCTCGCCTGCTTCCCCACAACCGCGCGGGGGCTCCAGCCGTGCCTCCGCGTCCGCCCCGCGCCGCAGCCGGGCCCGGGCGCAGCGCTGCGGAGGGCGAGGGCCGCCCGGAGTCCGGCCAGGGCCGGCGCGGCGATGATGAACAGGTTCCGAAAGTGGCTCTACAAACCCAAGGTGAGCGGCCCCGCTCGGGCCGGATGCCCCCCGCGCCGAGGCCTCTCCCCTCCCCAGGACCACCCGTCCGCCCTACGAGACGGACCCCCTTTTCCTGTCCGTGGCCGGCCTCTTCCCTCACCGCCGACATACTTCCCTCCACTCCACGACTTGGACAGACCTTCATCGCCCTGTCCCTGGGGCGGGTCCGAACGTCCCTCCTTGCTTCCTAAGCCCAAGTCCAGGACTGACCCTCCTGCTCCTCCTCTCGGGCCGGGGAGCACTTTCCCTCCCCCTTTATCCAGGGCCACAACGGGCCCCTCTCCCTCCTCATACCGGTCCTGGACGGTGCCCTCCTACACTTCGTGGTCCCCAGCCCGCGGGCCTGGAGCAGACCCCCTACTACTTATCCGTCTCCCCTCCCTGAACCAGGGATGCCCCCTCATTCCCCTCCTGCCCCCACCCCCATTGTCCTGGGCCGGGAATGGACCTCCCTCCGCACTCCAGAACAGACCCTCTCCCCACTTCCCCAGGTTCTGAGAGAAGCCACATTTCCCAATCCCTGGGTCCAGGGCAGACCCGTCCTTCCGAGTCCAGAGAGGATCCTGATGGCGCTGCCAACGGCCTCCCTTCCCGAACCAGGACTGACCCACACCTCGGCGCAGTTGGCGTCCCCTCCCTTGTCCCCATCCTTGTCCCTTCCCCACCCGCGTCCTCTGGAATCCGGGACAGGTCCTCCGCCCGGCCCTTGGAACGAGCGCGCCGGTGGCCAGCAGCCTTGGCGGGGCTGGAGGTGCGGCTCCACAGCCGGCGCCCGCGGCCCTCCTAGCGCCATGGGGTCGGGGTCCGGGCGGCGCGCTCCGTGCCTCGGCGGCTGCGCCAGTCGCACTGCAGGCGCTGCGTCCCCGCCGCCCGCTTGGGGCTCATGTCCGCTGCAGCCGGAGCAGGGCCGGGCGCGCTCGGCGCGGGGTAGAGGCGCGGCGGTGCTCGGGATCCCGGCGCAGGGTCCAGGGCGCATCTGGGCGTCCGAGGGTGGCACCCTGGGGCCGGCGCAGCGGGGAGGCCCTGGCCCTGAGATCTTGGGAGAGGGCACGGCTCGGGTGGGGTCACCGCGGCGACCAAGGGCGGGAGTAGGGCCAGCGCTGCGTCCGGGCAGCTCGGACATCCAAGGCCACTGCGTTGCCGACCCACCCCTCCTCCCTCCGCTGGCCACCTTTCTCCGTCCAGCGTCCCAGGCCGCTGCCTCCACCGTGGGTGAGCTGTCACGGCGGAGATTTCCTGAAATCCGTGCCTCGCGTGCGCCCATTCCAGGAAGGCGGGAGGTGGGTTTGGAAGATCGGCACTGAGGTTCGAGGGCGAACTCAGGGCCCGGAAGGGCGCGTGCTTCACGCCTTTGAGGTCGGGAAATTCTATTTGTCGTTGCAGGAGTGTTGGGTTGAGGGCTTACGGTACATGCTCGGCCTTAGCCTGACCGTGAGGGGATTCAGGGTTCCTGTGGCGGCACTCCCTTCTCCCAACCTCCCTGCCCCTAGCAGCGACTTCTTCAGGGTTCGTCCGGAGCCTTGCGCTTCCTGGCGCTGGGTGTGGTTTGGGGCCGAGCCGTCTGCGCCCAGCCTCTCCTCCTGCGGCGCCTCCGAGCCCCTCTCGGTCCTGCCTGCTGCCCCCATGCGCCTCTGCCGGGGCAGGGCGGTGGCCTCTGGATAGCTGTATGAGTGGCGTTTGGTTCCAGTGACTTTTCCTCACCAGTTACGGAAAACCAAGTCGGCTTGTAAAACGGCGTTTTGAGGGCGTGCAGCAGCAGCATTTTCTGTGACACATGGCGGGAGGCAGCTGGAGAAAGGTGTCTCAGGTCTTAAAGTAACATTCTGGTGTCGCTGAAAGCACTTGCTGGGACACTAGGGGATGCCCCTCCGGACGTGACTGTGGAAGAGGCCGCATTTGGGGGGTCACCCTTCTAATTGTGTTGAAAAGGAAGGAAAAATAATTGTAGACCTTTCATAAGTAGCTGAGTAATTTCAGAATGGCCTTGTCTGTTTTCGTTTAGGGAAGACAGTTTAAAGGTAGAACATGATACTAGAGGTTGTCCCAAGAATTAGGAATTGTGTTTCTAACTTTTCGTCTTCAGCAGGCAGCTGCCTTTCCAGGCAGGGGGCAGGCACTGAGAGGGCACTGCCAGTGAATCAGCTGATCCCAGGAGTCAGCCCAGAGCTGTGTGCCTCTGGAGAAGGGAGGGAACAGGATTCGTGCGGACCTCTCCTTTTTTTCGTTGTCTTCTCCCGGCATGCTGTCTGGTACTAGCTCTAGAGCTCTGGACTTGAGACGTATCTCCATCTCAGATCTGTCTCTGGCCATGGCATGGCATTTTCTGGGAGCTGGTGCCCTGTGGGCAGTCTGAACTTGGGCTGTCTCTTATTTGAGATCTGTCTTTGGAGTTAAATATCTTGATTGTTTGAAGGGTTGGAGTATATTATGTCATTCCAGAGCTTTTCATTTTTCAAACCAAAGCTCAGATTCTTGTCTTGGATTATGAATTGAATTTTATGCTTCTCCTTCTTGTCTAATTTAACACATTTTGGCACAAATAAGCACAAAGTCAGTCCTGGGAAGATTCTGGGCCTGGAAGAGTTGAAGTGTTAAACGTTAGCTGTGGGAGGATGTGTCTGGGGGAGACTGTTGCCTGCAGTTAGGATTTTTTTTTCCCACTTTATTTAGATAGATGTACAATTCAAACTGAATTTTTAATTGAATTCCTGCTTTGGTTTAAAACTGCACAGTGAGCTTATTTTTATAAATTTTTAAGTGTGTGTGTGTGTATGTGTGTGTGTTTGTAGAGACAGGGTCTCACTATGTTGCCCAGGCTGGACTCAAATTCCTGGCCTCAAGCAATCCTCTTGCCTCAGCCTCCCAAAGCGCTGGGATTACAGGTATGAGCCACTGTGCCTGGCCAACACTGAGCTTCTTGTTTGTTACAATATGGTGGAAAATATTCTGAAATGAAAATCTTATTCACCATTCTTATAGTGTTAAAAAGCAGTTGGAAATGCTTAAAAATATTCCTGTGTGACATAAATTTTGATATCTGAATAAAAATTAGCTACTACATTAGCTACCTAAGTTGAGTAAAAGAATGCCTGATGAATAATACAAAAGTTTAACATTAAAATGACATTTGCAAATTATATTTCTATTCACTTTCTTAATCAGTCTTTTAAACACCAATATGATTTTTCTTGGTATTAAGTGTTCAGATCTTTTAAGTATTATCCTGACTTTGAACACTACCTGGAAGAGGCGTGCAGGAAAACCTGTCAGCTTGTCCTGCTTTATTGATGTTGGTGAAATACTTTCTTGCTTTTCTTTAAAGTCTTTTCAAGGGAGTTTATGCTTTAGAAAGGCAAACCATTTTGGCATGGTTGATTCTTCATTTGAAACAAAAGTGTCAGTGCTGTGTTTCTTGCTTGGTTATGACTTTCTATTGATTGACCTGGCTAGAGGTTCCTGGTCACTAGGAGGTGAGAACTCCCGGCAAGGGGGAAAGGGACCTGGACACTTACCTGGACCTGGGCAAGATTTCCTGGCCATCACCAAAGAGCATATTAATAATCACCCAGGATGAATTTGTGTTTCCCATCTTTGAGGAGGAATTGACCCTCGGTGGGTTATGCTGGCTAGGTGGATGGGGTCATTTCTGTGTGGCTGGTTACCATGCTCAACCTTGCACTCCGAGAAGAGCTCGCTTGTCTGCACCCCCAGACCGTTTTCAGAGTGGGGGCTATTAACCTTTCTTGTCCTCCCGCTTTGTAGGAGAACATTCCTTATAAATCTGCCTTACTGAGTGATATGTATTCGGCAACTTCCTGTAAACATTCCGGGCCCAGATTAGCAATGACATGGCCTTTGCCAAGAGAAGCCTGAGTGACTTGCTGGGTGTGTGTGCTTTATGAAAGAAGAACCCTTTGGGTTTGGTAAAAGCCCCCTGGGGGCCAACCCCACTGGCATGTTTTGTGGGAACCTGCTAGGACTGAGCAGTACTGAGCATAGGATCTCCTGCCCTTCGGCTCTTGTGTTAACCCCGCCTCAGTCACCCGAGGATTTCCAGGGTTCCAGCCCACTTGGTCATGGGCCCTTGAAGAGAGCTGCCCATTGGTGGCCAGCACTCTGTACCTTGGCCACCTAGCTGAGAGGGCCGGCATGAAGTGGCAGATGGGGGCGGGTCCCAGAGTTGGGGGTGGGGCAAGGTCTGGATATATCTGTTTAGTCCTGATGTGCAGAGATGAGGCGCAGCTTGGTCCTCCTTTCAGGGCTCCCCGCTGGTGGCTGAGGGTGAGGGATGATGACAGAGACCCCCCAGAACTACACAGCTGGGGCTTGGAATGCTGTGGGAGGGGTCTTGATGGAGACTGGGGCCTGGCACGAGTGGGACCTGTGAGAGGGCAGTCACCAGCATGTGCCTCGACTTCCCTGCTTTGTGTCACC